TACAAATCATTTAAACAGGTTTTTGAACAATCTCTTGTTCTCATGCATCTGTGTCATGTATGAAATTTGTGTCTTCTAAAATTATATAAGTTACAATCAACGATAATCTCAAGCGATATGAACGAGTTCGCTTTCACATTATGAATAATGAATTGATATGGACTCGTTTGAGAAGAATGGTTACAATGAATATAAAAAGTACATGTGATACATATTCAAGTTTTTAAATGAAACGAATATATATATTTTTTTAATTAAATTTTTAATTAAATTTCAAGTTATTCTTATATAATGTAAAAAAAAAAATAGTTTAGAGAAATGTATAATTTTAAAAATCGTTTTATTTAATAAAATAATCGAATATTATATTTTTTGAAATTGCTAATTATAAGTTTGAATTAAGTTTAAATCACATTCTAATGATAGAATCAATTCTTAGCATTCTAAACATATTTTAATCTTATTGTTATTGAATTGTTGAGAAACAATTCATTGCGCTTGATCATCCATCATTGAAGAAATTTACAATTTGAAATTTTTTTATCTTCATTTATTTCTCTCATAATAATATTTGCAGATAAATAATTAAAACGCAATAACTTTTTTATCGTTCCTTTTCTAATCATTTTTTCACCTACAATTCAATATTCAAACAAAATAAATAAAAAATTAAAAATTCAAAAACATAAATCTAGATACAAAACTATTGGTCGTAGTTCATTTTTCAAGTTCTAAACAATTTGCATCAGATGACGATCGTACAGAGCAACACTCTGTCTCCTCTGTTCGAAACAAATTCGACGAATTTTAAAACCGTTATTATTCGACTTTGTTGCTAGCAATAAATTACATAAATTTTCGCGAGTGAAACAGATCGAACAAATGTATATATATAATGTCGAAGGTCAACTTGTCGAATATTTCCAACCGATATTCCCTCTTCGTTCCTCCAATAAATTAAAACGCGACAATGAAACGATTTATCGCTTTCGGGCGGGCATTGTACGTGCCAGACACGCTATTAGCCCGAGTCGAACGTTTAGATTCGTCGAAGCAACGGTCGTAAATTCGTTTTCATTCCTAAACTCTTCCCTAGAATTCTGCCCCGATAATATCACGAGCGACCAATTTGTATTAATTGTTCGTTACGCCGGCCACGTATACGCGAAAAATTCTGTCCAACCGTTATAGCGTCGAGACGAATCGGAGCGAGACTCGAGCGGGCAATAACGAAGGTGCTCACGTGTTTTTCGATGTAACACGAAATTTTCATATTAATAAGAATGGAAGAGAATACACTGTTCGAGGAAAATAACGTTAGAAAAATTCCTTTTCGATATTCGGCTTATTCAGAATAAATTTTTATAAAATGTTCATGTACTGTTATGATACAAATATTTAATTAATTAAAATATCCGAAGAAGATAATGTAATAGAAATAGGGACAAAGATGATAATTAAAGTATTAGGATATTACATTATTCAATTTTTTTTATCGATACAGAGGCATAGTATTTCATGAAAATTAAGCTCAGCCTTATCTTTAATTAATTCATCATAATATTATAACAAAAGAAAATTCCCAATTTGTTCATAATCTTCTTCCAAGAAGAAATATCGATCGATGAAGAAAGAAAAATCACATGAGCATAGATTGGAAATAATAATAATATTTAATATTTAAACGTAGATTCTTCATGAAGAGATATGAATGAAATCGACAAAGAAAAGATACTTATATCGAAGTGTAAAATTCGTAGATCGGCGATCGATTAGGGAACAGTGGCGAGGAGAATGATCAAACGGTAACCTCTGCATAATCCGACACTGGAGGCGCGAGTTGTGGGTCAAATGCAAACCGCGCGACCGTGTAATTCAGACATTACGGCAAGCAAGAATCGTATAAAGCGTACAATGCGTTCGGTTTCATGTTACGAGGTGAGAGAGGCACACGCGTGAACACACGACTTACGCGAAAAACGGCGATCTTTTGCAATCGTGACAAAATAGAATATTCTTTGCCTCGTTTAATTGTTTGTGTTCCGAGAGTTCCTTCAGTGTTAAAAGAAACGTTCTTTTTTATTGGGTTAATAAGTTTTCCCGTTAAAAAATGATTCAAATCTCTGTAAATGTTTTATTTAAGTGGACAACGTTAAAAACTATTGAAGTTTATTATCAATCTGTTTGCTTAATAATTAGTAGATTTCTTGTATAATTTAATTATCTCTAGCTAAATGCAATAATACAACTTCGTTATATGTGTAATTTTTAAAAGGTAAAATGTTACCGTGTAAATGTCGATATGAAATAAATAAATATTTAAAATCCCTGTTTAATTTAACGCAGTTGATAATTTGGCAACACAATTATACGTACATGGAAACATTACAAAATATTGGAATTAGAAAATAAATTCAAAAAGATTGATATTTATCTCTTCGCGAAAATTCAGAATAACGACCATTTGTTCCCGAAATTACGGGCTGAATAAATATAATTTCTAATTTCATATAATATTTCATATCTTTCACTCGTGAAACTATCATGTAGCGGCTACGTGAAAGATCGAGACTTGGATTTTGTTTCGTTTATTTCTGGCTTTGTAAGTACGCTTGTAACTCGTTGAAAGTTATGTTCACGCAGGACTCTAGAAACTGGCAGAAACTGTTCACTCGATAGAAATATTCGTGAAACGAATTTTGACGCGCAAACTTTGGAGGTTAGGTTACCTTAGGTTGGATCAGTGAGTTTAAAAAGAGTTATCAGAATGGAAATGGAAGATGTGAAGAAGAAATCGGGAGAAAGGAAAAAGAGAAAAGATATAAAGATGCACTTCCCTATGGATGGATGGACAACGTAGACGATCCACTCGAAAGATGGGTCATCGGATGAATCATCGCGTTTCGCCAAGGTAGCGCATAGCGACGCGTCTATTTTCGAGTTCTGGATGGATTTCTAGGGACGGAGTGGCGGAAAGGGGTGGTCGTGGTTTGTGATTCAACGATCGCCTCACCACCAGAAGACTCGTGCATTGTACACACCATCTGCCCTCTGTGTATACGTGCGAAATCAGCAATGATCGGAGGATACCCACCTGGCCACGACACGTATGCTATTTTCGCGGACGGCCGAGAGTAATCGTTCGAAGGACCCTGAATGTGGGTTAGCCAGCTACTCTGCAACGTTCCTTCGAGGCAATGAATCGAGATTAATGGACGCGGCATCGCAAGCAGGTTGACGATGCTCGATGTCTTTGGTAACAATTGTTTCCTAATCTGTGGTCGATGCTCGAAACGAATGGCGTCGAACTCTTTGTCTCGATTATATTGCACAAAAATGCATTTTTAATCATTTCGAGATTGAAATGAAACGAATCGAGAATAATGTACGCTTGATATTTGGTAAAAAGTTGCGTTTCCTAAACCTCTTTCACTGGTTGAATAACCTTTGATCTAATGATTACATGAAAATGCATTTTTAATTATTTGATAGTATGATAAAATTATGAATCGAAATTAATGGAGGTTAATTGATATTTTTTGTTAGATAACTTGCGATCTCTTTCTCTCATAATTATATAAAAATTGAAACTAACATTTGATTATATTTTCGCTGCCTCGTATTAATAAACGAAATTTAATATAGGGGAATAAATTATTAATTTAAGTATAAATAAATGTTATAATAAATATAACAATTTTTTAACAATTTCCATTTTATTTAAAATTTCCTATGTATAATTGAAAAGAAGAATAATTGTAGCAACAATTGAAAAATAATTTTTTTGGAAGTTCACGATTCAGATTGAGAATCTATGAATAAGATTTAACGAGAATCGAAGAATTGTTTGAGACGTGGGTGGATAAGTTTGCTCGAATTTTTTCGATTCCAAGAATTATTCGTTCGTTATTAAGATTTTGTGAAACAAACAAGGAAACGGAACGATTACGCGAATAAGTGTAACGCGTTGAGTGGTGTCAAAGTGTATTTTTGGACCTTTCGAATTCGATTCGCCATTTTGCGGTCGCATTGAATCTCTTTTATAGATTCGTAATCGGAAGAGGTGTGTAATTTTTAATGAAGTTGAGAAATTTTCAAAGAATCGAGAATTTCTCTCCACTTTCTTCGAAGCATAATTTAGATCACGTTCGCACTTTTGCAAATATTTCGCTTGGATGAGACGACTTTCTAATTAACATAAATATATATTTGTCGGATACTTTTAACTGAACAAATATATCTGTCTGTTGTATGTACATTATCTTTATAATATCGCAATAAAATAGATGCATTCTTTTTGAAGAATGATTAATGGAATCTAATTTCGAAAATTAGAAACTAATGAATATAATTATTTATTAAGTAAAATTATGAATATTTATAATTCATAAAACAGATACATTATGCAAAAAGTATTATAGATTTTTCCAAATCAAAAAATCTATATCGATTTTGCATATGAAAATAGAAAGAAGTACTTTTTCTTGTTCAAGTAAGAAGTTAGAATTAGAAATTTCATATTCATGTAAATCATTCAAAACTCGTACAATTCATAAAAATCTAATTTAATAAAAACATGATAAGATAATAAAAAAAAAATATCATCCCGTTTCTTCAAATCGAGATAAGCATTCGAGATAAATTTACATATGGCAAAAAATAAAAAAGAAATCTCACGCACGTTAAGAATTTCTTCTCGAAAAATCGAATTTTCCAGAAAAAAAATATCAATGTTTTCACAAATCAGAATGCACGAATTTAACGATAAGATACAAAAATGTCTAACTCCATAATCCCATTAAATTTAAAACGTTAAATAAAATATTTTCCCAGGAAAATATCGTCATTTTTTTCGCCAAAAATCAAAGCACACGTAAAATCCAAAAATAACAATTCCATAAAATTGAATCAATTCGATCAAATCAGAGTATAAGGATTTGGCCAACAAAATACAACGAAAATAATAATTCGACGCGGAAGTGGATAAATAAAAGGCTTACCTCCGTCCTCCGTCCTCGGCCTCGCGGAGCGGGAACACTCGCGATCGAAGCAGAAATCATCGCGAAACGAATCGTTCGCCTCGAAATCGGAATACCCGAGTCGCCGCGCTATCGTATTTCGATCCGTTATCTCCTCGCATTCTTCCGTCGTAATTCGCCTCTCGCGATAGCCGCCACCTGCGCAACTAGAAATCAACCAGAGCACGTCTCGATATTAGTCGAATGGACGACCACGACGACGACGACGACGACGACGTTGAACGATCGATCGCGATCGATCGCCACCTACCTGGGATCCACGTTCAAATTCCACGGGACCGAGTAATCGTGTCGCGTAGAATGTTGACGATCCGCAGGTATCGATTTCACGTCGTTCTCTTGCGGGAGAAATAGGTCTTTGAGAGCCACGTACCTGGGCGGGCTCTCCATCGCCCTCTCGTTGATGTTTTGGTCCCTGTACGTTCCGTAAAATGGCGAAGGCACTCCTGGAATTTAGGTTCAGGCGCTTGTCGTGAGATGATTCAAAGAGGGCGAATTTTTATTATTTCATTTTGTGCGAATGAACAGGAAGATTTTTGTTATTTTTGTAAAATGGAGAAGATGCTGCTGGAATTAGATTCAAGTGTTTGTTATTATTGAAAGAGGTGGAATTTTTGTAATAAGCATTGTGCTGTGTTTGGAGGCATGAATGTGTTATTGTTTGAGAAAGTATGTAGAATGATTTTTTTATATTCTTTTTGATAGTTCGTTTTTTAGGCTTCTATGAGTGCACACTATATATTTTGGCATACAGAAAAAGATCTGATAAAAAGAATTTATATTACAAGAATAATTAGATTCGTTACAATTGACATGTGTGAAAAAGTCAACTACTTGTGTCTATTTAAATAAAACATTATGAATATTTAAGAAAAAATTAATAACAATTATTTTATTATAAATGTATTCCGTTTAGTATTACGATTCTGTTTTTAAAAAAAAAGGAAAAATAGATTAAATTACTTGATACAATATATATGCAGATTATAATAGAAAAAAAATAAAAACCAATTCCTTATACCATTGATTAGATAAAATTAATGTATATTATCCTTGACACTTTTTTGAAGAAAAGTCGGAGAAGAAACTTATTACTTAACTTTTTCAATGTATGTAAATGTATCTTGTGAATTTATTTACAAGTTTCCTTCATAATATTTTCCTTATTATTTCTAGTACATTGATGCAAAATAAGAATACATGCAATGAAATCTAATATATAAGCAACTACAAGCAATAATATTTGTAGAAGAAAATAAATATAGATCAAGTATATACATAAAATAACACTGGAAGCAAGTATATAAATAAACATGCATATTTTTTTACACACACACAGATTAATATAATAATACACACAGTTAATATAATTAATAATAAAAACAGTAAACAAATATTAATCTAATAAAAAATCTATTTTATGAAACATGAAACATACTAGTTTTCCGCCTTTTAAAATCCACAATAATTGGATCGTAAACTCTTATTTTCATTTTTATTTAAAATTCAATTATACAGCAATAAAGTATAAATAAAATTAGATAAAAATGTTTATTTCATCGAAATGCCAAACGGCACAAACATCTTAGTCGATAAGAATCGTGTCAAGTTTTGAATTAATTGTCATTTCATTGGAATATCAAATTTTCGTTCGCAGTTTCCTCGACTTCCGATTCAAAGAAGGGGCAAAGAAAGAGGATGCAACAACGTTTTCGCTCGATGAACAAGCGTCTTCGTAAAATTTAGTCGAACCAAAACTATTTTTATCCAAGTGTTGCATGCCAGACCTCCCGGAGATTTGCGATCGCATCTTATTACGTTTCCTTGAATTCCGTGCGGAACGATTAAACGAAACTTCTGTTTTGTAATTCGAACAATGACTTCCGCTTTCGTTACGTCACTCATTTAACGATCGAATCGAGAATCGAAACAAGACAATCTGTCAACATGATTTCAATCAATTATGTTTTTCGAACTGTACGTTAAAATGTGATACGAAAAATTATTAAATGATTTTATAGGTTCACTCAACTGAATATAATATTAGATACAGACAAAATTTTCAAGAGGATAATTGAAAGAAAAGTTCGAAGAAAATTGTAAAGTTGAAACTTCCATCTTTTTTTATACGTATTAAAAATTTATAGTAAATATCTTTTAGATGTATAAAATGTATCATGAATCTTGTGAATTTATTTTCTTTACTTGTCTCACTTTTGAGAATTTATTATTTGGGTTATTTTTCTACTGAATCTTTTAAACAATATTGTATCATTTTTAATGTGAAGATTGTATAAACTGCGTGATTTTCCTTGGACAAATTCTTCATTTATTTTGTCTATATGTTTTCGTTCTTTATATTTTATTGACCTTGCAAAAAAATTGCACAATTATTTTTTTCAGTTAAATCGACTTTGATGTTGGTTCGATCATAAAGTATCTATCTATGAATATACCTATTAAATTTAAAAGATTAAAAATTTTTTATGACATAGCTTTATTGTTAGTACATATCTTTAAGCATTTTGTTATCTTTATAGACTTATTAACATTCCTTAAAACAGTTTTCAAATTATATAAGGTGTTTTAAAAATTCCACCACCATATTTTAAAAATTTCTCTTTTCTTCTTTGCAAACATATTGTACATAAATATGCTAAAATATTTTTAATTTTCATAACTCCTCATCATCTTCGTAAAAGTATTACATCTCTTAACCTCATATTTCTATTCAGTTGAATAATAATTGTTGTATGAAATCAAGTTACTGATTCATAAATAAAAAAATAAATTATCACATTAATAAATATAAATATTTTTATGCTAATAATAATAATTCTCACACACAACTAATTAATTCAACAACCTCTTGAAAATCATGGGGAAAAAAATTTGACAAAAATCATGCAAAAATCGCGAGCAGACGAGATTGAATGACACGAACGAACAGTTATGACGCGTTTTTTGTAAAAAAAGAAAGAAAAGAGAAATAGTAACAGGATCTTTAACAATCGCAATCGCTTGTTTTTCTCTCGTTTATTCTTGGATCGTCGACTCATATTTTCCATCGCATTCCGGGATTACCTTACCGTCTATTTTCATACCGCATCATCCAATAATCGTTCATCCTGCATACGAATGCTCGAGTAAAATATTAATTTCTCCAAATCTCTAAAAATATTATCTGTCATCGCATTATGCGATTAAATCGCAGTTTGTATAATTATATGATATCATTTTTCTTATTACTTTCTTATTATTCATTTATCGAATTTTTACCTTAGCAATTTTTTTGATTTGCAAGAAGAAGTATTTTTATAGTTTGAAAATTTGATTAATTTATTTTCACTTTTTTTTTTTTTTTATTAATTCGATATCAAATATTATCTTGCCACGTTTCATAAGGAATGCCTAAATTTCATCACTTTTGAACGTAATAGTATCCTGTTTTACATATTACGAAATTCAAAGCAGTGCAGCAGAATCGCGTTTCCAAACTTACGGACAATGTAACATGTGTATATATATCGAATGTTGCTAATTTTAAAATTAGATATATTCTTCGAAGAAATATTACGATTCGATTATATTAAAAATTTTATATGAAAATGAAATTTATCTATTGATAATTTTAAAATTTTCTTTTTTAAATTATTTTTATTGCCTTATATTTCCATTTCTAATAAAAATAACGTAAAAATTGTATTTTAAACAATTTTTTAATTTTATGAATTTTATAAATCTAAATTTTATATTAATTTTTTTCAAAAAGAAGAATAAAGGGCAGATCATCGATTATGAATTAATTATAATTTTTCCAAAAATATTCAATATAATCAATCATTCAGAAATGACTCTCAACTTCATTCCTTCAATGAATTAACAAAATATTCGTGTTAGCATTAATCAATTTCGTTTCTTTGAAGACGTTAAAATATTCGCAAATACGATATTAAATTTCGTCAATTAGGAATCAATTACGATTTTTCTAGAAAAATTCAACTTCAATAATAATAATAATTTTATAAAATAAAAATATTTTTGGATAATATATAGTCAATCATTCAGAAATATCCTCGATTTTGTTTTCGACGAATATGCATGATTCCAAAATGTGATTAAGGAAAAGCTCAATTAACAAGCTTATACAAGCCACGATGATGTTAGTAATTCGAATGTTAAGCAGTGACGTTGCGCTCTATATATTTCTTTTGCTTTCCGAAAATAAGTGGATGCCTGAAATACGTGTGACTAATCGCGCAACAAGACGGAAAACAATGCTTTTCGATACGATTATTGCGACATATTTATTTACGATGCTTTATTTTCTCGATTGTCAAAGTGAAAGTTACATTATTCTAAACTACGTTAAGAAGTCTTGAAATAATTTTTAACTCCTAATGCAATATCTTGTCAAAAAAGGTATACTGTCAAATATTGACAGTTCATATATTTGAGAGTTTTCGATAATTAGAGTACTTTCAAATTGTATGCAAGTGGCCCGCAAAATTATTTGAACATATTTTATAAGGAAATTCATTTAATCCGATAATTTTGTCGAAGTATGTAGAATATAATAGATTATATGTGGAGCAATTTTTTTTGTCGAGAAATCTCTTTGAGGAGATTTAAAAAAAAAATCTAAAAAGTTTCAACATCTTTTTATATTTTGAATGAGCATTATAAATTATGAACATTTCGTGATTTTACTTTATTTCGCGTCATTGCAAAGTTATATTTAAAAATTTGAGCGTTGATTTCATCTTCGTGAAAATGATATTTTGATTTTTGAAAAAAAACTATTTCATTTATATATATATTACTTATAAGATTTTAAAAATAAAGAAAATTCATTCGAATTTTATTAAAATATAAAAAAGTTTAAATAATTTCGTGAGCCATCATATCGATACTTATTCTTCGAATAAGAATTGTTCGTAAATTTTCCACGTGTATCACAGAACAGAATAATACGAAAACTGTGAAATTTACGTACGATTTAGTGTAATCAAGAAATGATTATTTTTCTTATTATTTCTTTTTCTTTCTCGAGAGAGGATGCTTCGGTTTATTTGATCCGAAGATATTTTCGATTATTTATAAGTAAGAAATTTCTGGAAAAAGTTTGATCGGTTTTCGGCTTCAGAGAATTTTTTTTTTGGACTTTATTTTTCATTATCGTTTTATGTTGAATTGTCGAGAGAAGCGATTTTAGAATTTTTAGCCACTCAATAAATGTAAATCATGATTGAGTAATAGCTTGGAACGAATTGTTTTTGCTGGTTTCAAAATCATGACTAATTTGTCGTTATTTAGAATATAATATATACTGTTTATACTATTATTACCAATTTATGACTGTACTTATATTTATTATTAATGCTGATTAACTTGTTAATGGTTTAAGAATTCCTTCTTTTAATAAATTTCATTAGATTTTGTGAAATGTTATCTAATTTATTTATATAATATTTTAACTGTTTTTAATGTAACGTAACTATAATTTAATGTAATTTAATATAAGTTAATTTTTTTCATGCAAGAAAGCATATATGAATAATAATTATAATTGAATATCATAATTATAATAAATACACTATATAAGAATACCTTTACCTCATAATTTATTTATAAAAATTATTAATACTTCTATCCTATTGCAATAGTTTCTTTCTTTTTTTGAATAATATTCAAAATATAAAAATTCTTTTAATATGAAAAATTATTCATTGTCACGATATTAAAACGAATTTAAAAATAGTACAAATATAATTATTATAATTAGACTACAGATGTTTGTATTATTACAAATAAATGGATCTTGTACAAAGATTTGACTTATTCTTCAAATCTTCAAACAGAATGCAAATATTTCTGAATATTTCGTGGATATTTTTCTTCATATACGTTATCTATACCACGAATCTTTGTGCATCAAATTTTTGCATGAATTAATAAACATCCGCGATACACTTATAATTAACAAATTAAAAATAAATTCGAAACGGAACGAGAAAGCGTTAATTACTCCACTCCCTTATAGCTACATCATGCTGATACCCAGTTAAATTAGCATAAACACCTACCATTTCGTAACCATAACGATGCTCGATCACAGCATCGTGTGTATAAAAAAATCGCACCATTGCCATAAATAGAAATAACAACCAGCCATATAGAAATAGAGAGAAAGAGAGAGACACAGAAGAGGAATAGTGGATAAATAACAGGGATGAGAAAATAATTCGTTACACCATAGTACCCAAGTTTTTTGTATTGCAGAGGAAGCACACGTTTATTTACACATTATACCAATAAATTGTTTGCTGCGATGAGTGACAAGTATATGATAACAATAAACGAATTTTTTCGTTCTTGTATATATATATATATATATTTTTATTTCAAAACTGAGCAACGAAGCGTTTTTTTCTTCTTCTTCTAATAATAATAATAATAATATTAATAATGCTATATATCTCAGACTATAGTTGAAAGAAGATCGATAATCGAAACCTTCCCTTGAACGTTTCTCTCGCTCATTCGATAAATAAATTAATCTTGTTCTCTTGTTCGAGGACAGCTTGACTAGCATCTGTTTCGTGGAGAATCACGGTGTCTTGAATAAATTAAAATTTAACATTTGACATTAAGATCAATACAATAGAATCAAATTGCGATCGCTTCGAGTTATATTAATTTATAGAAATTAATATTTGCTCGATTCATAATAATAAATTGATTTTTATTGTCCATTGCAAAATTTTTTAATCTTACGTAATTTCTCGCCACGATTGATTTAAAATTACCGCGATTCTAATCTATAGACAGGGCGGGCGAAAAAAATTTCGAAAAAAGAAGAAAAAAAAAAGAAAGAGAGGAAGAAAACGGGGGAATAATTATAAATACGTATGCTACATGCCTAGTAGATAGAAAGATAGATAAAAAAGGATAAAAGTTACTCGAGAACGAAAGAGGATGAAAAGAGGAGATGGAGGAGCATAGTAAAGAGAGGAGGGTGTGTAGAATAGAATCAGTCTAGAAAGAGAAACGACCTACTGAAAGCGTGTTCCACGGCAACAACGACAGAGAAAAATGCATTCGAGAAAGCTCACTACGCGCTGATCAAAAGAAAAGGAAAATAAAATTAAAAAAAAAGGAAGAAGATAAAAAGCGTATCCATCAGCGTTCGCGAAATATATTTCTTCGACTTCTCACTATTCGATTATCGTACTTTTGACTAGTTCTCCTCGCCCCTGTCGTAAAATCATCTCGTGTTTTCACGTAAAAAAAATGCAGGAAAAAAAAATGTCGCACTCTTCGAAAGAATAATATACACGCGCTAATATATTTTTGCTTTGAAATAAAAAATTTTCATTTTTTTCTTTTTTTTTCTTTTTTTTTTTTTTTCTTTTACGCTCGCATTTTATCTCATCGACGTGAATAATTTTTGCTTATACACGAGCGTATATTTCGACTTTTCTCTCGATTACTTTTGAATAATTTGTTCGTTCAAAAATTGAAAATTTTCTTCTCTCTGATAATAATGCATACGATAATAGGAATATATATACGTATTCGTTGAATTCGTTTGTTCGAAGAAGATGGAAAAGATCGATTAAGCGAAATGATGGAGAATTGAATGAGTTCGGTTGAAGTTAGAGGCTTAATGTTCCACCACCTTCGTATTAGATTGCTCTATTTTTCTTTTTTTTTTTTTTTACTTAATCCCTTCTCGACCGTTATATTTAAATAGGCGCGTATACTGATCGTCTGTTACCTGGCACCTGCAAGGTGGCAGAAGTTACTGTCGAACCTAAGCTATTCGTTGCGGTGCACGCGTAAGTGCCAGCATCCTCTGGAAAAGAAGAAGAGAAATTCGTAATTAATAAATAGTAATTAAGAAAAATTCATAAATGTTTTGTATAGAAATCTTTAATTAATCCTTAACATTCTAATTTATTAATTTCGTGAAATTCTTTTTTCTGCTACGTTTGATATTGATTTCAAAATGTTTTTGGATATAATTAATAAAATATATATATATATATATATGTAAAGATTCTACTATTTCATTTTGACCACCATTTGTAAAATCAGAAATTTTTTATTCTGTTTATGAAATTCTTATCATAATGATTTTCATTAATAGCATAATTAATAGCATTAGAATTTTCACTCATTTTAATATCCCGCATTATTCTCTTTTCAATTTTTGGAAATAGAAGCAAAAAAAGTGCTTTTTTAAAATGCCAAATCAAACAATCAAAAAATCATCTGATATTGGATAAATTTTCAAAATCAAACTCTGTATACTCATTTCTCAAAATTGTATAAAATATAAAAGTTTCTAATTTAGAATTAATTCAATTTTTCTACTCGTTATTCCATGATATTAATAACGTACCAGGAAAAGCTCGCACTATGGTCAGACGACAAACGCCATTTCGATAATGGATCTCGTAGCACGAAGAGTTCTCAATAATCCTCCCGTCCTTGGACCAAAGGATGTTAGGCTGAGGTTCAGCTTGAACGATGCACTCGAATCTTGCTGTTTGCCCGCTCACCACCGCTATATCTTTCAAAGGCTAAAAATTTGAAAGGTGAATAATTAATCAACCGTTGAGTCAACGTTGATAAAAATGTCACGTTTAATTGTGGATACGGTACCGTGATGAAAAGGGGTGCCTTTTTCGGTAGTATTTCTAGGTAAGGCTGAATCACTTCTTTGCTCGAGGCCACTCCATTAGTGGTTGGCCACGGTGATCCTAGAATAATCAGCTCGATTTAACTCGATTAACTAGAACAACGTACGAGTATATATCTCGAGTATAGTGGGAAAAGGTAGTGTATCACTGTATCGAGAGATTTAAGGCTTGGCAGGAACTAGAAAGAAGAATAGCTTTAAAAAGAGAGAAAAAAAAAAACTGAAATTGTTTTGCACGTGTATATTTATATACACGATACTCTTTCAATGGGAAAGAGAAAAGCAGAAGAAGAGATCGAGATTGGAAGATGCAGAGGAGTAGAGAATTTTTCAACACGAGGAAAAACATCGAAAAGCAAACAAACAGAAGTGTGAAAGAAACGAAAAATAGAAGTAAAACATTGTGTTCCATGTGCATACATCAAGATAAATCCATAAATATTTTTTTCCTTTCTCTCCAAGTGTAACACAAGAAATTGGAACAGACAGAAGTGAATTTTGCAATATCATTTGAGGTAAACAAGAATAGGGTGAAAACTAGAAATAACACCCCAAACGAATCGTGTAACATATCAAATGCACACCAGGATGAATCATTAAATAACACACGTAAAATCAAATCCTCGCAAGCGAAGCCTCCAAACAAATAACAAATCCCTTTTCAAAAAGCGATCTAAACCAAAGCCAACATAAAATAATGCATATTAACTTTAACACATTCAATGCGGCATCAAAAATCGAAACAATTCCCTCGTGGCAGATATTCAACTTTTATAAATACAAAAACAACAATAATAAAAAGTGAAAAATCCAAAATGTATGAAAAACTCCATCCTTCGTTTATCATGAAAAAACATCACGACTGTATACGTCAATCGTCAAGGAACAGATCTCCACGACGTTCACGTTATCCGCCATATAATAGAAGATCTCCATAAATTCGCATTGAATGTGTTAAAAGCAATGTGTTGAAAGCAAATACAGCGTATGCAAAGGCAAAGTGAAAAATATCGAAATGACGAAAAGAGATAAAGACTTCGGTGGACGAAACAAAAGGCGAAATGAAACAGGCTGATTAATATCGGCGCAGAAGCAGGTGAATACCTGCGGAGTCGACGTTGCTGGGTGGTCCTGTGGCACTACTGTATCTGGGGGAGAGACTTGGTAAGCTTGGACTCAGGGAAAGCGGACTGGGCGTCGTGTGGTCCCATCTGGACGGCGATGGTGAACAAGGTATAACGAGGCTAGGTGGCGCCATGGCGCTACCGCCATCTTGCTGCCTCTTTCTCGCGTTTCTCGCGTCCTCCGCCTCGGAGAACTCGCTCTCGGATGTCGGCTCCCATTTCACGCTCTTCGAAGTGCCGAATTTCCCCGCCGGTTTGCCCTGACGCGACGACGTCGAGCTGCTCCTCTTCGCGAAACCGTTCTCCCTACTGGTTGTGGTGAACTCGTGGACGATGGGCACCTCGATGTCGCTTGCTCTCCGTTGACCTTGGATGGTCCTGTTCGTGCTGGTCACTGTTCTCTTGCCTTCACCGGGGAGCACGATCCCGAACTCGTAGCCGAAGTCGTACTTGAAGTATATGAGGCCGGTGTCTGGGTCGATGTGCTTCGTTCCTGCGTTTTTTTTTTGGTTTTGGTTTTGGTTTCGATTTAATTTTTGGAGATTTTTATTGCGCTGATTATGGTATTTTTGTGGATTGCTAGCGGCGTGGTTCGTTCTGTTCGAAGATGTTTTGCTTTGAAGATTTACTTTTTGAAGAAACGAGAGAGGGGAGAGCATTGTTGAACTTCTTTTATGATAAATATAACAATGTAGTAAAGATTGTTTTTTTCGAATCATCAAAGGCATCGTTGAGATTTCTTTCTAAATGTTATTTTGGATAAAAATTCGTAACGTATTCTCTGATAAAGGGGGCTTCATTCGTAATCGTACATCCTTTATAAACTTAATTTCTCGTTCTTAAGCAAATGCTTATTCGGTTTCGTTATAATCAAATTAATTTCTATCACATTGATTAAAATTTACACTTAATTTCTACGTTGGAATTGGAATTACAGAGTCTAAATCGATTACCATGTTCCGAGTGTCGAGATTCCTCTCTGTAAGTTCTGGGCTCGTCGCCATCGCTTGCTCGACTGTCGGCCGGATGTTTCAGGATCGGCTTGCCCTGCTTCAGATCCGACTGGATGTCGCTGACGAATTTCTCGGTTTTCGACTTGAAGCTGGTGGTCATGTCGCTCATGTGTCGCGACGCGACGTCTGCGGATGTGTCAGATTTTTCGTGTTACGGGATAACAATGCTCGCCAGCGGGATACTCTTTATTTTTGTTTCTTTTAGAAAGCGCACGAAGGAAGAGAGACGGTTAGAGAAGAATGATCAAAGACGAAGAGAAATTTTCTTCGGGTATGAAAATGAGTATGAGTTTTAGATAAAATGTAAAGAACTTTTTCATAAGTTCTATTTATGATGTGAATATTTTTCTAAAAAATTCTTGAAAATAAAAGTCTTAATTTAATGCGAGTTCTTGTTAAATGCAAAATTAATTTTTCCATTTTAGTAATTGTAAAACATAAAGTTTAAAATTTCACTATCAAATAAACTATCAAATAATTCTTATCAAATAAACTCCTAATTTTTGTCCTAATTGCTTTTATGAACAAAAGCTTTTACAATTCCTTTATAATACATACATATACATCAATATCATATTTCCACAACAATAATTATTACTTTTCAAAATTTCTTTAACTTCTTCAGAGACACTATAAGACATCACCAAGACAGCAATACTTTCAAATCATAATATCAAGTAAAATAAAATATTTTATTATTCTATAGCGAGGATTTTTTCAACAGATTTCAATTTTCTTTTCCCCCCCCTTTTCTACTTAAAATAAGAAGAGTTTAAATGCAAAAACTTTACATATATAAAACTGTACAAATCCTCTCCGAACGGTAAAACAACGAAAGCACCCCCCGCCGGCAAGCGTGCGCAAAAATATAGACATCAATCGTGATCCTTACGAGTAGCCGCCTTTTTCACATCGCTCCTCGAGATAAAACCAAATTCGGGAGGCGAGCCGGGCTTCAGCACCTCCTCCTGCCCCGAGCCAACAACATCCCTCTTCACCTGAGTGGCCCTGCCCTCGTCCAATCGAAGTTGGGTCATCGAGGTCTGCCTCTTCAATACGGGTGGCCCGGTGTCGAACTCCAACGGGGACACCACGTGTTCCTGTCTGACAGGGGCGCTGGCCGATCTTGGCGCCTTCGTCGTGGGCGCTTGGACCTTCCTGTACCTCGGCTCCTCGGTGTCGCTCTCGGGCGGAGCCCACTTCGCCCTGATCCTCGTGTCGATGTCGCTCTCGTAATCCGATTCTCTGAACTGACCTTGAACGAACTTCTTCGGGGTGGGCACCTTGAACGCCGCCTTTTGCCTTTGATCGGAGCCCTCGAAGGCTCTGAAGTCGGTGGGTTTCTGATCGCCGAACTTAATCACCCGACTCGTTTGCTCGACAGTGACGATCCTTCTGCTGTTCTCGGTCGACTCGTCCATCCTGACCGTCTTCTTCGTCTCTGTACCGATCGCGTTGTGGAAAGGTATGCCCGATCGAGCCTCGTAGTAAGTCGGTTGAGGCGGTGCATAGGCTATCTCAGGTGGAGAGCCGGGAAGAAGAACTGTTTTCGGTTTGGTCGGCGTTGTGACTCTGTCCTCCTTCTTTTTCTCGAGCTCCTCGATGAACGGCGCTCGAGGCTCCTTGGGCTTTCCTATCGGTACAAAATGAGTGACCCCAGCTGACCTCATCGACGAGGCGAAGACATAAGCGGACAGAGGGCGCGCCGACTTTGGTTTCACTCGTCGTTGATCGAATTTTTCCTTTTCGTTCTCGATGGACGATCGAGCTTCCATTATCCGTGGTGTTGTGGTTTTGAATTCTTTTTTTTTTTCTTTTTAATTTTTCGTTTCGTTTTTGCGCGAAGCATCGTGCGAAACGCGGATGTGTCTTGAAACGAGGGTGAAACCAGCGTGATATAGTAGTGGAGAAGAAAAAGAAGAAGAAGAAAAAGAAGAAGAAGAAGAAGAAGAAGAAAAAGAAGAAGAAGAAAATGAAAGTTAGCCACAAAAGATGATGGGAGAAAGACTCGGAGAGAAAGCTGGGGTGCACAAAGTACGTACTTCGAGTGGCCGAGAAGAAAAGAGAGAAGCAAGCGAAGCAGGAAGAGAGGAGAACTTGTCTTGCGAGGTAAACAACGAGAAGGGAAGAAAGCTTGCCAGGAGGACTACTTGTTGTAAGCTGGAAAAAAGTCGTAAAAGAGTGAGAGACCCATCGATATTGGCCAGTCGATTGTGTTCTGTTTGACGCTGTTGGAAAGCAATTCTTATTTTGACATTTCCCATAACCAATGTTTTATAAATGTTAAGCTTCGTTTACACTAAATAACAAAATATTATTATTTTATAATATCACTTATAATTTGAATACTTTTGTAATAATTCCAGATATGCAGAAATATTATTTAACACAACGTATTTTGAATCAATTTTCTGTTTCTGTTATACAGATTATATACATCCCATTTATAATTAAAATTTTATAATTGTACTTCTTTATATAAAAGATTTTGTTACATAGTGTAGACGTAATTTTATTTACAGTATTTATGGAAAAAAGAACTACTAGTGTGATTGATATTATGCATAATTTTTAATAAATTCGTGTGTATTCAATAATATCGTAAGAGGAAGTTCTCGTTTACGTCAGGATTTATAAATACCTGGACCAGCGAGATTCGGTTTCACGGATCTGAAAGATTGGTCGTCGCTTTCATAGCCTCGCGGTTTCCAAAGGGGTGGTATTCTGCCGTCGTAATCGCTCTCGTAGTCACTTTCGCGAAATTCGCCCTTCACGAATTTGGAAGGACTTGGAGAGGGCGGCAAAATTTTTTTCGTTGTCTCTAGCTTCTTGTGCGATTGATCCGTAGTATAAATAGTTTCCTGGAAAAAAGTAAAGATGTTATTTCGATATAAATACATTTCAGTTGTTCACAAAATAGTTAACGAAAAACACAAAAACATACAATTAGTCCTCAATCAGTTTTTGCACAACTAATTCTAGAAATATTTTGTTTATTATTTCCTACATTCCAATCTTTATTATATTTGTTTCAATATGAAATGTGTCGCTATGTTGAATTTATACGTGCGAAATAAAATGGAGACATTCAAAATATCCATTTCGTGTAATAAGAACTTAGAAAACGGGTTGAAAATTATTATAAAATAAAAAATACATATCAAAAATTATTTCAGACTTAATTCTGTTAAAACTAAAATTCTAATATAAATTTTATTATAATAAAAAGTGTTTTAATCAAAATGTCTACCGATTGAGAACTGATTAAAGCAACAGAACTATATATCCAATTGTTTGTGTGCACTTGTATAAATAAATTGGTTAAAAACGTACAACATTGCAATTATTAGCTTAACACAAAAAGTTACGAAGAAAAACGACATTTGTTAGACGCAGCATCACTTCATTCGATTAAACAAAGAACCGTTCTTCTTCGTTCCAAACAAATCCACTACGATCACTCTACGTAGATTAAAGCGGTGCAAACACACTTCTCGAACCTTCGTGGAACTGAATCTCGATGGGGACGCGGAAGATACATAGCTCTTCTCGACGAACGAGCTACGTTGCTGCTGAACTGGTGGTTGTACAGGTTGTTTCGTAACCAAGGGAGCGGATGGTGCGACGAACGATTCTTTCTTCTGTTGCTGTTGTTGTCGGCTGTCGTAGCTCTTGCTCTCGAAATATTCCGATCGACTTTCCAAATACGAAGTACGAGACTCTGTGTGCGAGGTCATGGACGACGAAGATTCGTGTTTACCAAAGCTCTTTTGCACCGATTGAACGGACGACTTCTGTTGGAAAGGCTCGTCCGTGTCTGCCATGTAACCACTTTCCTGTTGGAACGTTTTCACCTTGAATTTGGGAGATTCTGGTTTTTTCATAGGTGGACTCTTTGGAGTTGGACTTTTCGCGGCTGGTTGGACGTAGATAGGTGGAGAGCCTGGTTTCAATTCGATAGCAGGTGGTTGGCCCACTTGGAACTTTTGTTGCTGCTGTTTTATCTCTCTCTCTTGCTTCTTGACAGTGGTAGTGATAGTTTTCTTGCACACTTTTTCCTGTTGCTCCTTGGTAACCACTGGTCTAGGTGGACCCACAGTCGATGCAGGCACTTCGAATTTAGAGGGAGGAAGTGGTTCAGGCTCGGTCGATCTAGGTCTAGTCGGCTTGGGCACTGGAGCTTGGACTCTTCTGTAACGTGGCTCCTCGCCGTCACTCTCGTACGGCCTCCATTTTGCTTTCATGTGACCGTCCATGTCCGATTCGTAGTCGCTTTCCTGAATGAAACTTCCTTTGACGAATTTCGTAGGAGTTGGAGGGGGTGGCACTTTCTTCATCGGTGCAGATGCAGGGGAAGGCTTGAATGGAAACGGTTCCAGAGGTTCGACAGGTGTAGATTGTTTGGCTGGAATCGGTGGTGCAGTCATTTTGACGTCTTTCGGAGGCAGTGCTGGAGCTTCCTCTTTCTTCGGCACAGGAGGAATAGTTCTGATTCCTCCTGGAGGGATCTTAGCTGGCTGATGCTCCAACGACACTTCCAAGTTCTTCTCTATCTTCTCGATCTTCTTTTCTTTGATCACCGGTGCTGGTATATATCCGATTTCCGGAGGTGGGCCAGGTTCTAGAATAATTTGCTCAGTAGGTGGGGTAAGGTGGTACAATTGAATCACAGGTCTTTTAGGTGGTTCCACACTCCTGACAAGACCAGGAGCTTTTAAATCATCCGAGCTTGTCCACTTTTTCGAATATTTCTCCTCGAATTTTTCAGATTTTTCCAGTTTCTTAACGTCGCTCTCACTAGTGTACTTCTCATATAAAGACTTCTCTTCCATTTTATTCACCACGTGATCTACTTTAATCGTTTCCGCATTGTAGATGATCGGCTGCGTTTTCGGTGGTGATGGAGCCCTCTTCGAAATCTTCTCCATAGATTCCTGTTTCGAACTCCAGGATCTCCTCTCCGTCGTGCTGGATGATTCCATACTGGTCTTTCTGATACCACCTTCAGGCGTCTCTTCGACTTCCTTCCTAAACTCCTTCGACGAACTCTTATAGTCTTCACCAGGAGTCTGCCATTCTTGCTTGAATCTCGACTCTTCCTGCGGAGGCCATGATTTCCTGCTAGACTCGGCACACTTTTTTGCCCAGGATTTCTCCATAGCCAAGGCGTCAGCCGATGGTCTGGGCGAGGTAGATCTGAGTATCTCCTGATGACTCGATGCTGCAGAGTGACACCTGTATTCTGACAGATCAGTGGATACGTGTGACCTGGTTTCCACGTCAGACGACGATGACCAAGGTCTGCTAGGAGACATAGCTCTGAACGAAGACACGTAGTCCCTTTTCTCGTGGATTTCCTTTCTCACGCAAGGCTCCTCGACTACCTCTTTCTTCTCGAGCTCAAAGGATGGTGGTGGCATGGAAAACGTTGGGGCCACCTTTGGAGAAAGTGTGGGGAAAATCTTCACACCGCCAACAGGCGCATCTATCGGGGACAGGGTTCTATCAAAGGATTCTTGGAGCTGTTTAGCCTTGATCGATACTTCAGGGCGTTTTTTTTTAACTCTTCCGGTTTCGGCATGTAACCAATCTCCGGTGGAGGCTCTGGCACCAATTAAAACCCTCCAACAATTCTGACTTGCTCTCCATTTTACTTTCCACTTTACTCTCCATTTTCGACGACATTATCAGAGATCCTTGAACAGACGATGATCCTGAGCTAACTGTTTCTTCCACGACTGTCTTCTTCGTCTCTACCGAAGGTGGCTTATACGGTTCATACGGAAAATCAAATAATTTATTGTCCACTCCACGAGAAGCTGCACTTCCTTGTTCCAATTTCGTGAATATCTCGTGGACAGCTTTCTTCGTCGTTTGAATCTCTGCAGGTTTCGGTTCAGGTTTCTTCACGTCCTGGAACGTAGTGGATCTCTCATAGTTCTTCGTCAATTTTCCAACCTTCACTTCGTGGCCATCAGCGTCATCCACTAATTTAATCATTTCTTTGGGACCTTTGGGCGTAGCTTCCGTTCCTTCGTCATCGATTCGAAGAAACTCAATGCATCCTTTTTAGCTATCGTCGATGTTTCGATATTTTCGTTCTCGATCTTCGTTTTCTCCTCGATCACCGTTGCCTTCGGCTCGATGCCTTTCTTCTCGACTTCTTCGCGAATCACTTCCCTCGTTATCGTCTTTTCTTCCTTCCTTGGCTCCGGTATGGTTGGCGTCTTGTGCTCCAACTTCATGTGGAACTTTTGCTCCGATTTGGATTGCGATTGATGTGATTCAACCGTGGACGAGATTGTTTCCGAACGACTCATCCTGCTTTCCGGTTCCTCTATCTTTTCTACGGTTTTGGTGGTTTCCGATATCGAGGTGGATGACACGATGGGTGTTGTTTTTAACGGTGGAATCTGTTGAATCGTGGTTGATGAAGGAAGTTTGCTAGAAGGAACCTCTCTCTTCTTTTCGTCGGACTAAATACGAATACAGTGCTTTATACTTTGCCTCGTATCAAAAATTTTAACAAAATTTGTTAAAATCAATCTTATATTAGGAAAAGTATTTTATTTCAAATTAGATATTATTTAGAGATTGACTCGAATCTTTCTTCTTTCTTTTCCTTTTATTAGAAAATTAATTATATTGAAGATTGAATTTTATATCGAGAGATCTTTGTTGAAAAATTAATTATTAATCAGAGGAAATAATTACCTGAGTGACTTTCTTGTCTTGCACATTCTCGTAAATAACAGTTTTATGAACTTCCGTCATAGTATCAGGCGTTGGCTCAAAAACTGCAAAATCTGCTATACTTTGGGCTTCACCACCGGCGTTCGTTGCTCGAACCATATATTTTCCTGCATGCGCCTTTTCAGCTAAAAATCCATTTTATTTAAAATTAACAACTTTAAAATTGTCAATATAAATAATTCTTTAAATTACCTTTGTCGATAATGAGCATGTAACAATTTCCTTGTTGCTTAATCCTCAATTCGGGTGGACGTTCTTTGATAGGGACATCGTCCTTGAACCATGTAACCGTGGGTTCCGGTGTTCCTGTGATTTCTACCTCCATATTGACACGTTCTCCACGTTTCACAACTTGCGCTTGCAATCTTCTGCCGAATACCGGCGGGAATATCGTCTCTGAAATTTATGGAATAACATTAAACAAGTTGTAAAAATTAAGTTTATTTAACAAGATTTCTTTCGATTAAAAACATGTAATCATCAAATTGTATACTTTTTACGACGAGATCAGCTGTGCTACTAGCAGAACCGACTTCGTTGTTCGCCGTGCAAGTGTATCGTCCCGCATCCTTAACATTTACGTTCTTCAGTTCCAAACGGACATGATTATGAGTATAAGTGATCGTCATTCCATCTTTCGTTTTCAGTTCCTGCCCGTTCTTCGACCAGCAAATTGAAGGCTGAGGGAACCCTATAATTAGAAAATAAAATTTCCTAGTTTATCATTCAACTTGCCTAATTAATCTGTTAAATCCATTTTTATTTCTCAATGTAATTAGAGGAAATATTCGTTCAAAATTAAAATTGACCATATTAATTACTTAATGCAAGTTGATTCTTCCACTTTATAGTTATTATGTACAATAGTGAAAAGTGATTCACAGGCGAATTTTTGAATTAAGATTTGCATAGATTTTTTACGATATACTCTTTTATATAACTATTATCACAAGTTAAGAGGATATGATCTTTATTTTTTTCACCATCGATAATTCCTTCGAGGATAATATCAGTGCCCTGATCCACGATCATCCCTGTGAGAGGCGAAACGAATCTCGGCGCAGTCGACTTTCTCGTTGGCTTCGGTATTTGCGCAGCTTTCACATCCCTCTGTTTGATCCCTTCCTCGTCTTGAGATACCACCACGGTTTTTTCTTGGCGAATCTCGCCTGGCTGGTCTTGAATGATCTTTTCGTGTTCCTCGACTTTGTACGACTGTTCAAACAAAATAACATTCACCGTCAATATTTCTCTCTCGTAATTTTCAATTCTCTTTACTTCGAAATATATATATTTCTTTACCAATCACGAACTGTATATTTTTCAAAAGTAATAAAATTCACAAAATAAAATATTCTTATCCTTTTTACTTGAAAAGAAAAGAAATTAATCTTGCTATGCATTAAAACAATTTAACGATGCACGAACAGAATTTTGTTTAACTTCCTTCTTGGAATAAATCTTTAAAATTACTTTCATTAAAAATAATTATATATATATATTCTCATCAATTTATGCATCTACAAAAATTTCACAAACACATTGGAAATCCAATATATTTTTTTTAACAATTAACTTACAATTTTAAAAAATTCTTTTTAAAATAATTATTACACGAAATTAATATTGAAACATTTTACTTCACATCACTCGTAGAATTATACTTGTTAATGTACACCTTAAGGTTAACAAACCTGCACAACAGGAGGCGCTCCATCCTGAGAGGACGACTGTTCCGTGCTATGTACAGTAGTCTTCACGGACACGCTGGTGGGTTCCTGTCCAGGTTTCGACAAGGTGGAGGACATAGTGGACGAGATGTACTCCTTCTTGGTCGTCTTGTGGGTGGTCGTGGACTCGGTGATGGTCTGCGACATCTTGGTCAACACCTGGCTCTCACCCTCGCCCTCGGACTTCTCCGAGGAGAAGTGTTTCTCGCTGCTGCTGGCTGCGTGCATTTCGTCGGCGGGCGATCTTTCCACTAAGTCGACCACCCTCTTTTCCGCAACTTTTCTCACCTCCTCCACCGACCTGCCACCTGACGAGCATGATTAATTCGGATATCAATAGAATAGATCGTGATTCTTTCTTCTTTTTTTGGCTCTGACACAAGTGGTCTAAGAGTCAGAGGGTTCGTCAGCTCTTCGTTATCCGGAAGTTGGGTGTGAATTTTAGTTAATAACTATCCATCATTACTGATACGATTATTTTTTTACTTTTTAATTTGTTAGCTTGCTTTAGGCCGAATTTGATTTTATTCTTTTCTACTTTTTATTTATTGATTATATATATATATATATATAAAGTGAAAGATGTGAGTCATTGAGTTCTTGTCATGCCAAAGATGACCTCATGGAAAAGTTGATATATTTGATATTCTATCGTTAAGATAAGATAGATATTAATTATTATTTGTTTCGTGAAAATAGTAAATATTTTTAAGTGATACATAAACTATAATACGATTTAATAAAATATGTGATATAAAAATTTAGGTAATAATTGAATACTTTATAAGTATCTGTCTTATTAACCGATCTCAGATCAGAATAAAACTATAATTTCTGTATACATGTATAATTTATGCAATTATAGTAATGAGTGAGAAAATAATGGATGTAATCTTTGATTAATATTTTGATTGTATATTATCTAGTATCTTAAAATATAATAACTTAAAGTAATAAAAAAATAAAATAATTATTAAAAGTAACAGTATTATGTGAATAAGTAAGAAACAGAGGTATAAAGAATGATAATCAATTATTGTAATTAATGTACACGATTTTGAATTCCAAGATCGTCGTTACACAACAAATCGTATGAAAATAACTTAGCTACAAAGTAAGCTAAGACGAATGTCATCGAAAAATGTGCCGAATTTCATTCACGTTCTCTGGTCAACCTAAACTCCGGACAACTTGGCATCGAAGGAAGGCACGCATACCAAATATAATTTCACTCAACAAAATGGGGCACATTTATCAAAGAAAAAAAGAAAAACAAGTCGTGTGAAATATATTATACTGTGTTATAGAGACATGAACAAAAAGGTCGCTTAAAAATATTGAATATTTCTTTGAATACTTTAAATTGATGGATTTTTATCAATTTTTATTTTTGTCATTTGGAAAATTTGGAAAATACTCGCGTAAAACATCAATTTTCCTCTGGAAAATACAATTAATTTTTAAATAGAATAATAAATTCATGACAACTTTTTACTATTTTGAGAATTTTAAGATGAAGAATTAATCATCATACATGTTATGAAGCTAAATTAATGGAAACATTCTAGTTTATCAATCTTCAAAAAAATTATAGAAGAAAAAAGTTGTAGAGAAAAATAACAAAATCCAAAATTATCTTAAAGTTCTCCTTTTACGATTTATTGAAAAACAATTTTTAATAACATAAATTACGAAAAAATGAATCGATTTACATGATTGAAACTTGAAGACTACAAATACTCTCCTCTTTATCATTCTTCGTTATATTATTTTAAAAGCGTTAATTTTAAAGAGCCATGTAAATATATCGATCGAAAATCACGAAAGTTCGAAAATCGAGTCACATTAATATATTGAATCACGGATGTATTAATAGTTGGCCCGTTTTAATGCCACATTAGAATCGTCGGATTGGAATCCGCGTGGATGTTGCAACAAGAAATCGCCCTGCAGAAATTCCGCGAGATTTTATTCGATTCTGAAATGGGCAACCGGAAACGGAACTCGAGGACGTAGACATTGCCTCGGACATTTGTCAAACGAATGAAAAAAGTGGTGTCGATCGTGGGAATGAATGAACGTCCTAGACACGTCTTCGATCCCCTTCTAGAAATATCTTCACACCTTTCTCTTTTCTCGAAGGATAGGAAAAAGGTGTAATTGGCGTGTAAACGGAGGAAACATCGAAGAATCTTAATGAGAATCGCGTGTTTTATGGGCATGGTCATCGAGAATACTAGTTTTTTTTGTTTTCTTCTTTTTTTAATGGAAATTTATTCCTTTGAGATTTTGAGATAATAACGATGACCTCGATTTCATCTTTTTCTTCGGAGAAAGAAGCAGTTTTGTTTCATAGCAGGTTGTTGCTGCTGTTGAAATGAATGAGTCGAGACTCTGACAATTAGAAATAAGTAATAATTGGATACGAATATTTTCTTTTGTAATATTAAGTTACATTTAGAAAATTGTGATTCCGTAAGATTGTATTTACAAGGAAATTTAATGCCGCTTTGCTAATTTAATTTATTTGCATTAATTTGATCTGAGATATACTCTTGTAATGGAGTTTTTTTAATTTCTTTCATTGTTTCAGTAGCTTTAAAACAGAAAGAGAAAGAGAATTACTAATACATATACATTTGTATATTATATTGCAAAAAGAGAGAATAAAAATATATATTTACAAATATTAATAAATATTATTACCAACATGTAAAGCAAAAGTAATAAAATTTTCATCTTTGCTCATTCAAGTAACATAACATTGTTATTCGTACACATCTGTGAAATTATATAAAATTAAAACACGATATATTATTTATAATTTAAAAAATGAAGAAACATATATACGTACGTTTAATGAAAAATATATAAATGATCCATTTATTTATGATCCCATTTATGAATTGATAAAATGCATTTTCTAACAATCATTACATTCTTTTTTCAATTACGATCAGTAAAAAAATATAGATAAAAATTTTCCAAGCTTCAATCAATTTAGAGAATAAACACGAACTGTTAACAAGTCTGATTAATTCCCAAAAAAGAATTGATCAAAATTTGCATCGCACGACAAGTTTCACGCTAATCGAAAGAAGTGTGTGTACATTGGCCGAGAACCAAAAAGCGATACTCTCCCAACCGAGAAATTCATCCCGACATATCTGGACCGCGAAAATTCGGCACAACTCGTCCTGAATTCACGCACGAAATCACGAAACATCCGTTCGAGTCATTGGTCCAGCGTTATTTACGGAGGATCTAAAATTTATTCCTCGCGTTTCTTCTTTCTCTCTCTTTTTCTCTCTCTCTCTCTTTTCAAACTTTATCAGTTTTGTCGAAAGATCATAAAAGTTTGGACTCGTATCGAACTCTTGGTTTTATCACACTTTTATCCGCAGGAGCCCTTCGCCGAGAAAATACCTTGCCCACGAATCGAAGACAGAAATAGTTCACCTAGCAGACGAAATCACCGGGACTTATTAACCCGAGCGCGGGATTTCGAATGACGTTTCGAATTACGGTCACCTGTTTCGGCGTGGAAAGGTGAAAAGGATCGAGTCGAATTCGAGTTTCGAGTAAATTTGGTGAAAGTTATTAAATTTAATAATTTTTTTGTTAAAATTCAAAAAAAAAGAAGAAGACTTGACAAAATTCTCTATATATAGATAAACTTGTTAATGCAATAAATCTCGTTATATATATTTTGATCTGGTGGTAAAACGTACTTTAATTAAAACTAGATACTAAATATATATTCAACGACTATGTAATTGCAATACAGTATAATTTTCTTTTTTCAAACTATATTTCTTCTGATCAGCCTCAAACACTACAAGTATTGTAATATTTACAGATTGAATCACCAAGTCCAATTTTTAATTCGAATCAACTAGATATACGCGATCTAGCCCAAAATTGCAATTTGAAACACGCTCGAAATCACATCACAATCGATCACAAACCCCTCGTTCCATTTACCTCGAGCACAAGTCCCAGATTCGTGAATCAGCTCCCGATTGTCGATTTATGGGGTGAGTGGATGGTCGGAGTCGAATAGGAGCGAGGCTCCCCGAAGAAGACGCGCTCGAATTCCCTGGGTTAGCGACTCTGGACTAGGCTACGCGCCGGGTATTCGTGTCGACAAAAATAACGCGCTTTATGCGTGTGTGCACCGGCCGAGAGACAGAGAGAGAGAGAAAGGGTAAGACAGGCCTCCTAACACACGAAGGGGGGCGAAGAGAACACGGAAATCGAATGGAACTGACCTGTCCTCGAGGGGATGGTGCACCTCGTTCGAGCGATTGTGATTTCGTCGATGATTTGGAAGGGGATTCGTGTCGATAAGGGACTGTGTGCTTTCATCGAAATTTGACGAAATTTGAGAGGTGAATTGAATTTTTCAGTTGTGCAAATAATGTGGAATTTGTCTAATTTCAATTTTATCGTTCGTCATGGTTTTCTGATTAGATGTGTATTTAGGTTATTGTAATGTATTTATTAAAGAAAATTTAATTCATTGAAGAAAAATTAAAGTGCATAAGAAGAATTGGAAAGACTCATATTTTAATATACACTTTTTCAATTTATTTCGTTATCTGATGATTTTATATGGGAGATAAATATGATATGATAAATTGAAAGAGTAGAGTTTGTTGTAATTGTGTTTTAAAAATAAATTTCGTTGAAGTAATGTTTGATAAAGATTTTTAAAATACGAAATTTTTAATATTTTTTTTGAAGAATTTGTCAATTTTTATATTGTTTATATAAATTGATAAAGTCATTGATCTTGTTACTTGTGAGTTTTTGGAATAAATGGAACGATGTCTAATAAAGTAATGTTTTATAATAATCAAGTATTTTAACTTAGTTCCTTCAATTTTCATGACAAAATGTTCACAACAGTTAGATTAATGAAAATAATAACAAATGATATGATATATTCTTGGAACGATGTTAAATTCATCGTTATGTTTTCCTCTGGAATGTTGAATCAGACTGAACCATAATGATGTTATTTCTGGAGTTCAAACTTTGGAGGTACACTAGCAGTTTGATGGTCACGTTGTTACTAATTCGGTAACATTGACTGTTTACATTGCAGAAATTAATCCTGATCCATAAGCATTAACTTTCTAAATATTAAGAGTTCGATGTGATCCACGTAAAGCAATCGTTACTCTTATATTATCAATAAAAATTAATGTATAAAGAAAAGTAAAAACATATATTTGTACGAAACTGTGTACATTATTATACAAAAAAGTTTAAGATCCAACATTTTTCATACAATCAGAATCAGAATCAAAAATTTAAGAAAAAAAGAAAAAGAATCTTGCTAAAAATATAAAATCTATTAGAAAGAAATTAGTAAAATTAATAATATTAAAAATTAGCAAAAGATTCAATATACTGGAAAGAAAATTCAAAATTTTTGACACAAACACAAATTTTCTTTATCATAGATTTGAACGATGATCAAAAATCTTAAAAGATACGTCTAAAATATTGATAGATATTTGCTGGAGATCATAAACATTAAATTGAACGAATATTTTCATAAAATCATCACAGAGAATTACACGATTAATTATTATTAAAAAAATATTCTTCACATCTAACAGCTACTTAAAATTTAAATAAATAATGCAACAATTTTTGAGCGAGAGTATACATATGTTTACATAATAATAGATTACACGCATAGAATGTTTTGGCCACTATTTCGCCAAACATGAACTACAAATGAAAATTAAGAAAAAGATTATTTACATAAAAATGTGTGTACAAATACTTTATTGAAAAAATGTAACAGTGAATTCCGGTAATAGAGAAGAATTTTAAAAAATAATCCTCACAAATAAAAATATATTCAAGCTACGTTCAATACTTGCCTATAATAACAAATTATACACTAACAAATTTATATAAAACACGTTTCTCTTATTCTCACTTATACACCATGCTTCTGTAGAATTTGCAAACGTCCAAACTAGCACTTTGAACGAAGGGAAAATCAATCTGGAATCGAGCTCGTCGTTTTCGCCAAACAATTTTACAAAAAATCACGAGTTTCACGGACAATTTACACGTTATAGGATCGGAAGCAAAGCGAATCGATCGGGCAGACTAATGTTTCTACACGGATCGTGTTCTACATGGACACGTACAGGTGGGCGTAGAAACGTCAGATTTAATTGCCGCGGCATGTGCACCGACCTAATATTAGTCGTGACTCAAAGTGACTTTTCGTCGGTGAAAGAAGAGAAAAGAGTTTGTTTAGTCGCCCTGGTTAAAAATAAGACCCTCCCTTCTATATTACAGGCTGGTTCGCGGTAATGGATCATGGGATACGGGCGTACCCCGTCGAAAAGAGTTTACTCGATGGCGAAACGGAAACCAATATTTACCATTTCGGTCCATGCACGAGCCGAGAAGAATAGCTACCGTTCGTCCATGTTATTTCGATGGAAACCTTATTTCGCAATTAATTTGAAAAACAAATGCGACGCGTACAAACTCGCGATATTTAAAATACGGCGCAGAGAAGATGAAAACTGGCTCCTTTCAAAGATTCAGGAAAGAGCGATAAAGAATCAAATTTACTCGGCTTTTCTATGAAACCAATATAAAAAAAAACAATTTAATTACGCGAGATAAAATACTTGGATATTAAATTTATTTAATAAATTAAAATTAATAAACTAAACTTTAGAAGAGGTTATTCCTAGAAAAACAGAAGAATAAATGCGGCCCTGAGTTTATAAATACATAAAAATTAAGGGAAAAGATAATGGAAAATACACAACATGAATATTTCAAACGAAGAAAAGTTAAAAATTTCGAACCAAGGAAACGGAAGAGATACCGAAAAAAAAAAAAGAAGAAAAAAAAATTGCTGGCAACAAAAGAAACGAAACCGAATTTCCAAGCCGTGGGTGGTCGAGCAATTTTTCACGCCACTGAGAGAGAGAAAGAGAGAGAAAGGTGTCGAATTTCAGAGAGTTCGTCGCTGTCGCAACATCTCGCCGCTGCGTATCTCTTATCCGCGCCTACGTGATCCATCCATCCCTTTCTCGATCATCGAGGCTTCTCGCTTTCGCTATGACAGCGCTCGAAGTCGCGGTGAATGAAGCTGCCATTCGACTTGGATAAACGCGTATTAATAACTCCGTGGCACCGTTGCCGGTCTCGACCGATATTTTGGCAACGCGCTAACCAATTTACCGTAAATTGCGGCTGGCAATAAAAAAAAATCGTAATCGTGAAATCAGATCGAATTAATAACCGGGGGATATTTTTTTTTTTTATATTGTACTCTGGAATTTGTTGATTTGTTTTCGTCGACGAGAATACACGTTGGGAGCATAAATTTGAGAGATATTGCCGGGGAATTGGTATTATTTTTATTTTCGAGGGAACCGCGTTTTTGATACTCGTCCACGTGGAACGGTATTTTAAGTTAACGTGTGAAAAAAATTTATTAAAGATTGGAGATTGAGAAAAGTGAAATATTGAAAATTATGGTAGTAGTATAGATAAAGATGGAGAAAAAAGAAATGATAGAGATGATGGAGAAAAATTGTGATAAAAGAAAAAATTTTATAGAAAATTTATAGAAAATATTATTAGAATGAAAAAATTTTGTTGGTTTCTAAGAAAAACCAACAGTTGTTTGAAATGATTCGAGATTGAATTAGATTAAGTATAAATTGCTCACCGATCTCTAGACGAGCGCTGCAAATCGCTTTTCCAGCAGCGTTCTCCGCCACGCAGGAAATCGTACCGGCATGCGTACTTCCGGTCTCTGGAATCGTAAGCACTTGTCGATCCCCGCTGACCGAGACCAAGAAGTCCTTGCCGTGGACGGGGCGATCGTTAAATAACCATTGAATCTGAAAAATTACGTTCTACATCAATTAATATAATTCGATGTATTAATTCCAAAATTACATATTTTTTTCACGATTAATATAATAACGTTAATTGATAAATATCGTCACCGATTAGAAAGAAATTTCACAGCTTGTCGCTATTTTTTAATACTTCGAAAAACACGTGAAAATAAATTATAGTTAAGGAAGATAAATTTCCTCGACTATCGAACGCCTTCTCTCGTACAGTTACAAATGAGAGCACGTACTCCAAACGGATTGCATCACAAAATTCTGAAATACAAACTACTCGATACGATACTCGACCCACGAATGGCACAGAAAATTCCACGAAATGGTACTCGACGAAGAAACCAGTTTCTACGTACAACTTCTCGTAGAAGATCGTATCACGGGAAGTTCTATCAATACTGCACGTACACAAATTTACTTTTGATACAAAAAAAAAATGTGTCTCCTCCCATCGTTTCCTTTACTCTCCAAACTTTCGTAAAAACTTATATTTCGAATAAAAAAAAAGAAAAGAAAGAAAGAAAGAAAGAAAGAAAGAAAGAAAGAAAGAAAGAAATCTTCGTTACAAAATAAAATCAACAATTGTGAAAAGATGGAAAGGTGAAAGTTCACGTACGAAATACGATACCGATACCTGTTCAACGAGATTATCACTGAAAATTTCGCGGAGAACCTCGCGGCGCGGCTGCACCCGCGAATTTCCACATCAGGTACATTGTTCCCGTTTAAATATAACCCGGAGGCTAACGAAATTACTCTTGGTTGGCCACCTCCTGTCAGGCTGGCCAACTCTGCGACCCATCTTCCCTCGAAAAAGCGATTCAACAAATTCGAACGCCACGACTCGATTTAATCGTAATTAACTGCTCGTCGATCGGCAGTTGCGAAATGTTTAGCGACGTTTAACACGTTGGTGCGAGTTTTGAACGCGTGTTTTGAAGGTTGGTGATACGTGATACGTTTGTTTGACAGAGAGTTTGAAGCTTTTATTGGATATCGTTTCGTTCGGATTACGAAGCTTCGCTCGTTTCGAATAATGTTCATGGATTATGGAATTGTGTGGATCCTTGTTTCGTAGATAAATTTTGCGCTCTGATTGTACCATGTCTTCTGTTTCGAAGATTATCGTTTTTCTTTCACGACAGTTGCTTGACAGAAACTTCAACGTCTCTCTTCGTTTGTTTTTTGTTATTCGTTGTATAATAATTTTCTTATTTGGGGGATTGTTTTCTTCTCTCGTTTAATTTATCCTCGTCAAGTGACGATTTACTGTCGATTGTTTTGCTTTTTCTCATTCTGATAAATGATTTTCCTTGCGATCGAGAGTGATATATAGTCGAGTGACAGTCAATATTGAAACTGATATTGATCTTATGATATTGATCCAATAATATCGATACCGAAATGTTTATTATTTTGTCCAAATATATGTGATAAATTGTAATATTTAAATATTTAATTTTATAACTTAGCTTGTGATTAAAGAGATACTCCAGCCATGTATCCATTATTAATCATCAAAAACACGATAGCTATAGATTTGTGCCTTTAAAATTCTTTAGAAGCAAAATTTGTTTAATACATAAAAAATACATAAGGCTTTTCTATGAATCTTAATATTCATTAATAAATTGAATTGAGAAAAGATAATTTCTATGTTTATACGTAAAAATTATATTTACAAGTATTCATTCTAATATAAAATATTAGAAATTATATTCTATATTCTATATTATGCATCTTTCTATACTTATGCTCCACATTTATATCTCATGTATACACTCTACATCCATGTCCTATAGCTATTGTCTATTTTCTACGCCTATATCCTATATTCTTTTATCCTACATATATTTATTGTTTACCCAAGTGTCCCATTATTAATAATTATGATTTGCACAATCGAAAATAGAACGAAAGAAGAATTATATCTTACTTTTGGAGATGGTTTTCCAACCACGATGCATTCAAATTTCGTGGAGACACCCTCCGTCACTCTTCTGTCCTCGAATCTCTCCTTGAACGTAGGAGCAATCAGTTTCTCCTCCATCTTCACAAATTCTTCCTTCCTCCTAAAGTCACCCAACGATCTGACGACCAATCGAGCGAAAGCCTTCGCTTCTCCGTGTTCATTGAACGCTTTGACCACGTAATTTCCCTTATCCTCGGGAATCGCCGAAGAAATCTTCAGGATGCTCGTTCCATCCTCCTTTCGCTGGATCTGAATGATAAAACAAAAATTGTGTATGTTATTGCCTTTTCAAAGTTTTGTGAATATATTGATATAGTTAAAGCGAATGCACATTTCAAAAATGAAAAATATATTGAATGAATTATTATTTTTATCCATTGTTTTCCTCGAAAATTGATTGTAAATAGAAATTAACAGTGGAATGTATATTATATTCGAGGTTGCATTGCAGTTTTATATTAAACAAATACTATTTTTATGAAAAGATTCTCATTACAGATCGCAAATTTTTTTAAAACTTCATTAGTATATTAATTATTTTATTCTATAAAAATAAGTAAATATTTTTACTTATTAATAAATAATTTTTGAAAAATACGATCCTTCGTTCTTTCTTCTTTAAATCGTGTAATGAATATATTGGAAATCGTATAACGAATCGTAATTTCGTGTAAATACAAAAAAGAAAGCAGGAATCTTATGTTTTTCCAATGATGAATTTTATTTTAGCGAACACTCACCAGAATACGTTCGTTCTCAGTGACCTCGCCACTGTCGGAGAACCATCTGAGTTCCGGTTTCGGCTCTCCAACCACCGCGCACTCGAAAATGGCGGTCTCGCCTTCCGCGACGAGAGAATCGGTTGGAAGTTTGACGAATCTTGGTGGTGAACCCGCCACGAATGTTTCCTCGATCTCTGTTCGCGCTCTGTCCAACTTCTCCGAAACAGTAACCGCTGAAACATTATATCGTTATTTGTTTACAGATTGAATAATTATATAAAGATTGAAACGAATATGAAATTTTTAATTTACAAAGGAACACGTTGCGTACAAAATGTTTGGAATAATTAAATTAAAGATTAAATTTAAATTTATTTCTTGAAAAATATTTCAAATATAAAAAATTGATGCACGATCATTCTTTTCTCGTTCTTCATTCTTTTTTAACAGTTTAAAATATTTACGTTTACAATATTATTAAAACTATTATAGTAAAGATAATTTTAACATTTATTAAATATCTACATTCAACGATTCAACTTACGCGTCACTGTTAATGTGCACTGACTAGATGCTTCACCGCCAGAATTAATGGCGACTACTTTGTACACGCCAGCATCGTCTAGGAAAGCCTCGTGAATGACCAAGGAACACTTGTCACCCTGGAACAACAGCTGGAAATCGGCCGATTCCTTCACTGGTTGATCGTCGTGATACCAAATCACCTGTCCCAACAGATTTACAAATTTTCTGTTATAAAAATAAATTCAATAAATCACGTTAAATCCAATTTTCAAAATAACAATCTCATTTCTAATATTATATCTGAAAAATTGTAAAATTCTCGTAGACTCTTACTCTTATTTCCTCTCCTTTTATTAGGAATCTAATATTTTAATCCAATCTCAATTCATCATTATCGAATAAGTACTTTCGAGAAAAACTTCGAAACCACATTTACGAATTCGATCGTTTCAGAAACTCGATATTCCCCAATATTCCAGAAGAAGAAACAGAAAATGAACGAGTTCACAAAACACTCACTTCCGGCTCGGGTTGTCCAACGATCACGCAGTCCAGGCGGACGGAGTGGCCCTCCTGAACCTTGAGGTCCTTCAACGGCATCTGGATCTTGGGCACGACGGGTTCCATGTCGCTGCAGGCGAATTCCGAGTCGCTCGTCTCGTGCGGAAGCCGCCCCTTCACGGACACGTTGCAAGAGACGGTGGCCTCGCCGGCTTCGTTCTTGGCGACGACCGTATAACATCCGGCATCCTTGGCGAACGCCTCCGAGATGACCAAACTGCTCCGTCCACCGTCCATTTGTATCTAAAACAGCGAATCCCTGAGCGTGCAAGTTTCAATTCTTCGTTTTCGGATCGCGTTGCTTTATTTCGAATTCGGCGCGATCCGGCTATAATTAACGCTGCTTCGGTCGCCTCGCCTCGAATGGAGGAGAAGCGAGAGGAGACGAGGAAACGACGATGTTTTCGTTGAAAAATTACGTCGTTTTGTTTTTTTTTCTTCTTCTTCTTCTTTAAGATTGATTGGATTTGTTATTTTGTAAATGGTATTAGTTTTATTGGATTGGTTAATGAGAGAGTTGCTTTTATTATCGTGGTAATATTAAAATGTAAAATAAGTTAAAAGGGAATGGAGATGTAGGAGGTCATTGAAATTAGATGATTTTTATTTCGTCAATGGTGGCTGTAATATTATTCTTCAACTCGTCGATCGTTCTGGGACTATTTTAAGATTACAAGAGTACGTGTTAACTAACTATTAATAAAGGAAAAATTCAATGAACGTCAAGATCGATTTGATGAGAAGAAAAACAAAAATTTATATCAGTAATAAAAACAAATTTCACTAAACATTATGTTCAAAATTTATTGGAAAATCAATTGAAATTGAAATTGAATGTTATAGAGAAGAAATATTGATATTTTGTTTTTTAAAAACGTGCATTTTAAATTTTCTAGAGAAAAATATTAAGGAGAAACAAATTTTGCTTTTGAAATTTTTAGAGATATTTATTAAAACAAACCAAATATAAAATTGTGAATGTAAATTTTAATTATCAAATGATTACCTTCAAATTCATGCTTTCTTCGACGGGTCTTCCATCGTGATACCAAGTTAAAGTGGGCATCGGATTCCCTTTTGCTTCGCATTCGAGTTTCACTCTTTGACCTGCTCTTCCCATGGCATTCGAAAGAGGTGTGACAAAATATGGTTTCTCCGAAGTGAATTCCGCAGCTGTAGATAAAACGATAATATGAATCTTACTTCTGGATACAAAATTTTTTCCAAACATTGTTATTCAGCGATAAAATGTATAATTCCTCACGTTCAACATCGAGAAAAGCGGAAGTGGAGGCTTGGCCCAATCTGTTCGTGGCCTTGCACGTGTAAGTAGCTTTGTCTTCTAAGAAAACTTCCTCGAATTTTAATACAGCCTCGCCATTATTGTAAGTGATAACGTAATCGGGGGAATTATCGATGTTCACGTCGTTCTTGAACCATTGGACGGTTGGCAGTGGATTACCTTCGACTATGCAGTCCAGTCGATGAGAAGAATTTTCCAGAGCCACCGAGGCCATCAACTCTTTCACGAAAACTGGAGGACTCGGTTGCTCTTCCGGTGCAGTTTCTAAAAATCAAATTTATAAAAGGATAAATTTGTAATACTGGAAGTCAGCAAATGAAAATTAATTTTGAAATAAAATTAATCTCTGGAAAAGATTGTAACACATGTTGAACTTCAATTTAGAAAAATATATTGAAACGCTCTCTTTTACTTTCATTTTATTTTATGATAAAAATATTTATCTTTCGAAAAGAGATTGTATCTATTTTTCTCATAATATTAGAAAGAAATAAAATATTAAATATTATTATAGAAGAAAATAAATTTTACCAAATTGATACAAATTTAAAAATATTAGAAACGATAGTATGATTCTCTATTATCAAAAGTTACATTTAAATAGACATTTAATTTCTCATGAAATGAAATATTAAAACTTGCAAAATCACCTTTGACAGTCAATGTGGCGGACGTTTCCGCTGATCCAGCTATATTGAAGGCTTTGCAAGTGTATTTCGCAGAATCTTCGGCAAAAGTTTCTTCGATCGTCAATGTGCAAATTCCATGAATGTAAGTGGTCAAATAATCAGGGTTATTCAAAATCGAGATTCCATCCTTGTACCATATTACTTCCGGTGTTGGTTGGCCAACGAGATTGCACTGGAAAGTGAATTTCTCTCCTTCCTGTACGGTGGCGTCGTGTAAAGGAATCGTAAACTCTGGTGCCAATGGTGGACCACTTTCCTTGTGCGCTCTTTCAACTGATTTTTCGCGAATTTCTTCGGTGATGATTTTCTTTTGTGGACTTGGTTCACGAGACGGTACTCTTTTCTCAATTTCCGTCTGGAATGCAAATTCAATATTAAATTTATATGAAATAATTCTAATGTCATCACAGTTATCTTCAAAAATTATGAAATCAACAATATTAACATAATTAAACACAAATTAAATAAAAGTATAATTTACTTTAACCGAATAACTTTTTCTTTAGAATCTTCATCAATATATATATTGATAAAATAATTGTGAGCAATATTTTTCCAAAAATGAACATATTTATTCAACGTGATTTATCCCAAAAGTTGATTAAACCTTATTAAAAATTAGAACCAATTCAATTCCGCTATGGCTTCAAAGATAATGACTTCCAATCTACGAGTAAACGATCGTTAGAAACAGAGAATCTTGCTCTTTAAAACTCTTTTTCATTTAATCCAATACGACTTCCGGTTCCCGAGATATCATCGTGTAAACGAAAAGATGATTTTTAACCATTTACCTTAACCTGATAAAACCTGATATTAAAATCAAAGAAAGTTTAAACCGCTGTAACTTCAAAGATAATGATTTTCGATCAACTAGCGAAGGATCGTTAGAACCGCGGAAGCTTCCCCTTTAAAATGCTTTTTTATTTATCTCGATACGACTTCCGGTTCCCGAGATATCATCGTGTAAACGAAAAGATGATTTTTAACCATTTACCTTAAACCTGATCAAGCGGTATTAAAATTAAAAAAAGTTTAAACCGCTATAACTTCAAAGATAATGATTTTCGATCAACGAGCGAAGGATCGTTAGAACCGCGGAAGCTTCCCCTTTAAAATGCTTTTTTATTTATCTCGATACGACTTCCGGTTCCCGAGATATCGTCGTGTAAAGAGAAAGGTAATTTTTGATCGTTTATTGTCTCCATCCTTATCTCTTATTCGGACCTCTCGCTCGCACCTCGTCTCACTGATCTATCCCAAACCGCAGACAAGCGATAGACGCGATTCCTGGAAAAACTCGTAGTACGCATTTCCAGGAAAAAATATAGGTCACTGCCCCATTCATAATCTTCGCGCCGTATTAAATATTACGAAAACTTTGAGTGTTTATATCTCAACAACCGATTGAGATATCGGGATAAAACAAAAAGGAGATTCAATGGCATGGATTTCTCTGTTTCTCGAATAGGTTTTAATCACAAAATTTCTAATTTCTTTTCATGTTTTTTTTAGTCGTGTAAAGAGAAAGGTAATTTTTGATCGTTTATTGTCTCCATCCTTATCTCTTATTCGGACCTCTCGCTCGCACCTCGTCTCACTGATCTATCCCAAACCGCAGACAAGCGATAGACGCGATTCCTGGAAAAACTCGTAGTACGCATTTCCAGGAAAAAATATAGGTCACTGCCCCATTCATAATCTTCGCGCCGTATTAAATATTACGAAAACTTTGAGTGTTTATATCTCAACAACCGATTGAGATATCGGGATAAAACAAAAAGGAGATTCAATGGCATGGATTTCTCTGTTTCTCGAATAGGTTTTAATCACAAAATTTCTAATTTTTTTTCATGTTTTTTTAGGTGAAAAATCGATGTTTCGTTTAAAATTTTGTGTTAATGATTTGTTATAAAGACATAATTTGTCTTATATAATGTTATATATATATTTTTTATACTAATTGAATAATTGAAATGTGTTTTAGCTATATAAAAATTAGCACGTCTTTTAGACTTCTTGGACAAATAGTTAACATTTATTGACGATTAAAATTGTTCAATTGAAATAATTTGTTATCAATTGTCACCTTCTGTAAGATGTGTATTTCTTTTTTAATGGTGGCGGAAGTAATCATTTCTTTGACATAACTTTGATCGGTTTCGATCTTCTCCGTTTGTGCCGACACCGAAAACGATGGAGGAGGAGTAGAAACTTTTTGAATTTTCCTCTCTTCCTTCAATCTTTTCGCTTCTATCGTTGCTTTCTCCAATGTTTCGGCTGCTAATTTCTCGGCAATTTTCTTCGCGTTCTCCGCTTCCTCTCTCGCTGCCTCCGCGGCAGCCATTTCCATTCTCGCGGCTTTTAACTTTTCATCCGCTTCCCGTTTTTCTATTCTTAATTTCTCTTGTAAATCTTCGGCATTTTTCAAATTTTGGGCCAATGTTCGAAGCTCGGATGAAATGACGGCGAAGGAATCCAACATCTGTCGATTCTCGACCACGACTTCGTTGAACTGTGGTAATCTATCCGTGTCTGATAATGAAATAATATAAAAAAAAAAAAAGATAATACAGAAAAATATAAAAATATACGAAAATTTTAATATTTTTCGAATTTGAATCGAACATTTTTCTCGCTTACCAAAAACAATCGTCGACAATTCTTTTAATTTTTCGATTCTCTTTTCCTGCATCTCTTCACCTGGCTTCAGATAACTCTCGATTTCTTGAAGCAATACCATCGCGTCTTTAGGCGTCTTTACCGTGGTTGCCTTCCTTGCTATCACCACCAACAATTTACTGCCCTCCCTATTCCATTCCTTGGCTTCCTCTAAGAGCATGAAATACTCTATGGCCAAATTCGTTCGTTTCTTCGTTTCTTCGATCTTCCTCTTCAAATTTCTCCATCTTTCTCTCAACGAAGAAACGTCTTTCACGATTTGAGGCGTCAAAACATTGATCGACTCTTCTGTCGTTCTCACGAAAGTCTCGATCCTCTCTTCCAAAATCTATGAAACGAGAAATAAATTTAATTCAATTGTTTCAAAAATTGAAAATATATAAGTGTTTGCATATATTATATTCAAATTTCATTTTATATTAAATACTCTTCGCTTGGTTTATTTTAAACATTTTCTGCTTACCTGCATTATATTCCTACGATTGGCGTAAAAAAATTTATTGTTACCATTAGTTGAGATTAAAAGAAAAGATTATCAAAATATTATTTAGCAATAGTATGTTTATAATTTAATTTCTTATTAATTACAACAAAAAAGAATACAATAAAATTTATTATAGTAGAACTCCAAATTTAAAAATTTTAGATAATATCTAATTATTGTTAATAAATATTTTCATTATAGAATTAGACATAATATGAGACAATGAACACAATTGAAGCATTATTTCCAAATTTGAAATATCTATTTGGATAGAATATTTCGTTAAATCTCAAATTATTAAGTCTCAACAAAGAGAATTAGATTGGATTTCTATATGAACAACTTGATTATGTAAATCTTATCTATCTCTCGATTTCAATTACCAGGAACAACAATTTAAAGACAGAAATAAAAAAACATGTTAGCAAAATTTTGCTAAAAATTGTCATCCACCCCGAAAGAATTGTAACAATTCTTACCGTGACAGTTTTCTCGAACTGCACGAACGAAGAGGCGGCAACCCTTGCCGTCTGAAGATTCTCACCGATCTTCGTATCCACCTTTTTCAAATGTTCGTTCAAATCGTGCAGCTCGTTGTCGATCCTCTCCAGATCCTCGGCGAAGGTACAAGTTCTCCGATACTCTTCGATTTTAGTGGTCGTCTGTGACCAGAACACTTCGAAATCGGTGGACAACGAGTCGAAGGCGCGTCTCAATTTCTCCATGTCGCGAACACCAGCCTCAGCTGGCTCCTGCCGCTCGATTTTAACCATCGTTCTTGCACCTTCGATCCGATCTCACCTTGCCTCTCGGAAATGGACCATCTCATCGCGTCGAGCTCGTTGAATAGAGCCTCCACTTCCGACAATTTTCTCAGAGACGTTACACGCGACACTTGGCTCTTCAACTGTTCGATTTTGTGCTCGACCTTTCGTGAAAAAGTATTTTTATGCACACGTAATAAATCGCAATAAATTTTATCGAATAGAATAAATGCAGATTGATTTCAAATTTACTGTTAGTTCAATTTTATGCTATATACGTTTTTGAAATTGGCCAAATTAAATTTGAAAAATGTTGTCGACAAATTCTTAATTGTTACAAAATTGTAAACGATATGTGTAATTATATCAATTATACCTCTTCGATATTCTTGAAGATAGAGATCAACGATTCGAGGAGATTTTCATAATCCCTGGCGGTCGTGCGAAGATTCTCGTGCATACGGCGAAGTCTGTTCAAGATTTCATCCTCGATTTGCACTTCGCCTTTCGAATTTAAAATTTCACTTAAGATTTTCGAATCGTGGAAAATTAATCTCTAGAATTTACGTTACGTTACCCTTTTGTGCCAAAGCATTCAGTCCTTTGATCCTCGAATCCAACTCGTCCACGGCTTTGTTCAACTCGGGCAGGATACGATCCTTGGATCCTGCCAGATCTTGAAGAATGTTCACTGTCTGATGAGAGAGAGACGTGATCACTGGATACAGTTGGTCGCTGAATTTAGACACCCATTCCATCGTCTGGAAAGAATAAACAGAGTCGAATAATATTTGTCGAGCAACGAATATAAACAGAACGCGATAAATTTCTTTTGATAATAAAAATAAAATCAGTTGAATTCAGAGAAATTTGTACCTTTGTACTTTCTTCTATTTTTCGTTCATGCTCGATCCGTTTCTCCCTCAAAATCTCGATCGTGGTTCGCCACTTCTCCCAAGATTCGGTCACGGTCAACTGTTTATTGGCAAACTTTTCTAAAAGCATCTGAACGCATATGCAAGCCCTTGGCACATCCAAATAAGGATCGTCGATCTGGAAGATAGAGCGCTCTTTTTAAAAAAGAAAAAGGCCTAAAAAATTAAATGAATCGAGTACCTTGACAGCAGCATCCAAGAACGCCTTCCCGGTACCGGTTAATTTCACATAAAGCGGTTGAAGATCCTTCCAACGTCTTCCAATCAGCTCGATCCTTCCTTCGTCCAAAACGTCAACGTGCCTCTTCAACTCGCCCTCGATGGACTCGATCTCGTTCGTCAATTCCTCGACCACCACGTGGAATTGAAGGTAAAGTGATCCTAAATCGATTCTTCTCGCCACCAAATCCTTAGTCTTCGACCAGGAGTTCCTCAACTCCTCGACCTTGGATCGCAATTCCAACTTCTGCGACTCCTCGAGCCGTTCCCCGATCGGAAGAATTTCGAACTCGAGATGCTCGACCTCGTCGGTTCTCTGCTCGAGATCGTGCAACAGCTGGCGGTGGAGCCTGCAGAAATCCTCCGCCATTGTGACGTCGCTGCCCATGTCTTGGTGACCCTGAAGAAACGCTTCGGGTATGCCCATTAACCACTTTCTCAGCTCGTCGTGCTTGTCCAGGAACGTGTTTATGATCCTCGATATCTCGAGATTCTCCTTCTCGTGAGCCGTGCACCGTTCCATCAACCGGATCTTCCGGTTCTCCAACTCCTCCACCGCCCGTTTCACACCCTGTTAAGAGTGGAAAATTATGATCGTTTATTTTAAGTTTAAGAATTTTTGAAAATTAAACGCAAATATTATTCTATTGATTAAGATCAATAATCCTGATTAACTCGTGATTAGTGGTTCGTTAGTGAATGTGGTATTCGATATGTTTGGTAATTTTTTTATTATTTCGTGTGATAATGTGAAATATATTTTGAGAGGGATCGAGACAAAGAAAAAGAAGGTTGGCGTGCAAAAATCGTGGGTTGAGGTTTATTTATCGAGTTAATAAGCAATTTATGTTTGTGTTGTTTAAACTCTGTCTTCGTCTCGCTTCGTCTAAAGCAAACGTAAAACGTATTTATAACTTCGTAAATAAGCCTGAAACGGAATTTTTGTATACCCAATCTTTCGCGTTTGTTTTAGTCTCTAGAAATCTACTCGCCAAACCCGTGTCCTTCGAACATATTAATACCCTGTATATTTTCTTCAATCTATCTTTCATTTTTATTGTACTTGCAAACGTTCTATATTTCTTGAAAATTATATAATCTTATTCGAAAGAGGAATGCACGCAAATATGTTCAATTTTTATTCTCTGACATTTCTTTTTATCTCTGATACAGTTTAATAAACGTAAAAGAATTTTCATAATTCATCCATCATTCTCGATATAATGTCTTTGCTCACAAATACAAATATATTCAATATCGGTTAATTAGATTCTAATTTGAAGTTTAAAAAAAAAGATATACAGATCCTTCAGAAATATAAGTAAATTTTTCAACACTCTGTAGTTGAATACAGTAATTTTAAATTACTTAGAAAGGTACAATCGAAATACGAATAAATACGATCGTCGAGAAATAATGCTGATTGAAAATTCATTGGCGAACGATTTCTATTCGCTATGCATGCTTTCGCAATTTCAACTGCCACGAGTTAATCTCTCGATCTCTAACCTCAGCCCCAGGCGCTCCTCTTCCTGTGATGTCCAAGAGGGCGTATCCTTCCTCCAAAGGTTTCGCGGTAACGTCTTCGATGGTGGCGACGGTCTGGGCATGGAAACGAGCTAATCTCGTCGAATACGGGGGATGCTCTGTGGTCACCAGCTGAATCTCCAATTGATCCAACTTCGTGATTGCCTTCGAAAAAGAATAAAATTGCAAAACTTAACTCCCCTCCTAATATTTTATCGTCATAAATTATTCGTAATTTTTTTAAATAAAAAAGAAAATATTTCGCGATTATTTTTTTAATGAAAAATTATTTTCTATAAATAATTCTACTTTTTCTAAGTAACAAAATTTATTATTTATATTTGATAATAATTATTTAGTTTAGATTTTTCTTTCGTAGACGATGTGGACAAAGTATTTAAATGGAACAAGTATAAAAGGTCAATGCTCACCGATCTTGCCGAATCAAAGAAGGCCACCGCTCTATTCAACAACGACTCGTACTGATCTAAATCGTTGACATAATCAGCCGCGGCGCCAAGGATCGCATAAGCTTGTTCTGTCGCCTGTTCACCGGCAAAGTGTCCCGATGACACTAATCGTTCGGTCGATTTCGTTATTTTGATCGATCTGTCTTGAAATTCCTGTGATCATCGTATAAACGGAATTATATTAAACGATATTTTTTTTTTCAATCAAACTTCTCTCTTTCATCGTTTCATAATTCATTATTCCATTTCTAAAAATTTATATTTGTGAATCTCAATATAATTGACATAATAATCGAACTACAAATCATTACGGAAAATTAATTTTCCAAATTTATTCAAATCTAAATCTCTCTCTCTCTCTCTCTCTCTCTCCTTTTCTGTCGAAAGATATCTCATAATTTCAAATCTTAAAAATAATTAACTAAAAAAAAAAGTATATATAAAATAAGATATGTAATAATTCGATAAAAATATTTCCTATTAGATCGTAAAATAAATAATAAGAAAAGTTAATTTATCGATTATGTTAATGAAGAAACTAGAGGTGGTTAATTCAGAGGAGTAATAATTCAATAAAATACCTTAGCCTCAGCCTGTAATTTTTTCAATTCGAACAGGAGCAATTCCGCGCTCGACGCGGAATCTCCCAGCTGATCGCAGCTGCTCGACAGAGCAGCGATTCTATCGTTCAAGATCTCCTCGAGATCGCGTAGATCGGTCGCTAACAGAGCTAAAGCCAAACATTGCTCCAATTGTGTCTTTCTACTGCGAAACGATGCCTCGATCAACCGCCTCCTGTCGTGGAGCTCCTCCAACCATTTCTCAACCTTCAACACGGCTGCAAATAATACGAAGAACGTTGATTTTAAAAAATATTTCCCTTGAAAAACGATGATAGATTTTGCTGGAAACAAGAATATTTACTTTTAATTAGAAAATGTAATCATTGAACGTTAAATATGCGTGTCTCTGAATAAGATGATTCATGTTACTTTATTGTTAATTACAAATTACTTCTTTCGTCGAATTACATAACGAATCATAAAAATTTTTAGATACATCTGAAAAAAGAGAAATAATAAAAATGAACAAGCCTTATCTTGAGAATAAAAATACAATCGTTAAGTATCTCTTTAATTATTAATAATTCTATCTTCTATCGATCTAGTAAAAAAAATATAAAGATTTTCAAACTGTATATACTCGTCTCGTCTTCTATTAAAAGAAAAAAAAAACAAATATAATGTTAATTCTTATCTAAAAATCTCGTGATAACTGCTGATCGTTATTGAGCATTCGATTCGATCTCGCGTTACTCCTCTCGCATAACAAAACAGAGGCGAAAGGAACATGTCGGTTGTGTCATCGATTAAAAACGAAAGGTGTACGTACAATGGATATAATTGTGCTCCACAATTAATCGCAACAATTAAAACTCACCGTGATCAGCTTCGAGCTTAATTCTCTCAGGCCTGGAGTCCAGGGTGCCTTCGTTCGCTATCTCCTTCAGCCGGTCCAATAAATTCTTCCCCTCTTGCAACGCGCCCATCAACGCCTCGAGCATGTTCTTTCGAAGATCGTGGATTTTCGACAAGAAGTTCTTCACCGCCTCGATCTCGATCGGCAGCAACGTGTCGTTGCAAGCCATCTCCAGTGCCCTCATGCTCTCTCGACACTCCTCCGCTCGGCTGTAACATTTTATTATCGTGCGTTTCGATGAAGTATTCTTATCACGCTTGGCTACAAAGAATTTAGAATCAATCAGTGAAAGTGAAAATTCAGAGTTTTTTCGAAAAATTCAATCAATTTTTGAGATTACGACACATTTTATTGGAATTGTCTCATTTTAATTAATTCATTATGTTTCGTGTACCTATCATTCGCAATTTTCTGTGACAGTATTTGATATATTATATTACAATTATATTACAATTTTGTTTTATTTACACATGTCAAGATAATTGTACGAACCATTGGAATAATACGTTGGAGTCGAGGATTTGTTTTCGACGTTCCAGAAGCTCGTTCACATCGCGCCAAGCTTGGCCCAACGTTTCCGCCATCGCGGCGTACACTTCCGCTCTTGGCCTCTGGTTCGAGATCAACTGATCAGCCTGACGGAGCAACTCCTCCACCGGACTCTGTTTGCTCTTGTGTCGAGAACAGAAAAAAAAGAAAACTTATTTACTCTCCGCATAATAATTACATCCGTACGATCTTCATTTTGATTTAATCCAATTTACGTATCCTTTTTAATGTATCTTTCCAATGTAAAAACAGAAATATTTGAAAATTGAAATTCAACGGAACAGAAGGAATATTAACACAAAATTGTTAAATATAAAAATTGTATATAAGAAATTGAATTTGAGATCTCTTCGTAATTTCGTAATATTCACAGAATAATAATAATAATGTATTAAATATTAATAAATTGAATATGTCAAAAAAGAAGATCGATTAAACTATGCATAGATAGGATAAAATTAACAATTTTAAAATGAAACGAATTTTCTAGATAAGTTTGTGTCAGTTACCTGCAATCGAAGCAGAACCTCGTCGTGCGCGTTCGAGAGCTCGGTGGCTTCCTCCACCGTGGCACCGAGCTTCGTTAGTTCTGGTTGAACCTCCAGAACCTTCAATCTCAGCCATTCCCCGCTCTAAAAAAAGCCGGACAGCAAAATATAATAAAATAAATAAAAAGAATTGTGATAATTAATAACACGCGTGATATTCGTTAACAATAATATTTCTCGATAATTGGCGGTCGTGAAACTCGTAACAAGGCGAGAGACGCGCAATACTGAGCGAGATGTCATTGCCATTTTAGGAAATCTCACGCAAGATCACCTGCAAAAACCGACTAGTCGTTGGAATTGGAAAATGGGAACGCGTTTCATTGAGCTGTACGAACGACCTCGTTGCAACGTTATGAGATTCGATTTTTCTTTTTCATCCCGATTGCGAAGCGAAAATTACGTATGCGCACGTTTGGAATCATTTCCTTTGGAGGATCTTTTCGAAAAACGTGTATAGAGGTTTATATTGGACGTTGCGTTTTATTTATTAAGATTTTAATACACTTGGAAAGAATTGCATCGAAAAATATGATGCAAAAAAATTTAATTTTAATTGTAACAAATTTTCTTCTTTCTGTCTTCTTAAATTAAATGGATTACGTGTTCCATTAGATGTTTCTAACTATTTTCTAATTTAAATTTCGTATCTAATTATCCTTAAAAATTATCGTGTATAATAGACGACGAATAATTACATTTAAAAATGAAATTAAGTCCAATGTAACACGATAAATCTACGAAAATATTTTGTGCACGTTTTAGAGAGACACGCGTCCGTCAAGAGTCGGTGGAATTTTCCTTTTGTACCCCGGATCTATTTCAAATCGTTTTCAAGAGACGCGAACGAGCATCCAGAAACCATCTCGACGACGCGTTTGTTTATCCAACGTGCTGAAATATCGTCGACCCAATTTTTCTGCCTCGAGGAGCGAGGGGAGATCAATCTTTCGCAAATCTCAAGGAGGGCCGTAAAATTTCAACGTTTCCCCGTTCGATCGTGTTTGCAAATTCGTGTGTACACAATGACTGGGTTAACGAACGATAAGATAAGCAAAAGAATGAATTAACAACGATTAATTATAAAGTTGTTTATAAATTGAAAGATAGTTTTAAAATAATTAAAATAGAGCGGAGTTAAAAGATATATTTGCAAGGAAAAAATTTTAATGATAAATTGTGTTAATCTGAAAATTTGTTATATGTATTATAAAGATATTTGTGCGTCTGTCTGTATGCAAATGAGTTTATTCATAGAGTCGAAGGTGTACGTTCTATTTCGTTGCGACAAGAAAAAAATATGACTGCTGAGTATCTATTTTTATTGTTTTCTTTTCTTTCTTTTTCTTTTTTTTTCTTTTTTTTTTTTGACGATTATGAATTGTAACGTAATATGAACAATTGATAACGATTTCTTCTTTAAAATTGGTATTAAATTTATTTATTGAATCGTTTAAGATTTAATCTAATTTAATGTTGTCAGAAAATTTTGTTGAAGACGCACAATTAGTTTTAACACAATTTAAATTGAAATTCTATAATATATATTGTAAAAATTATAATTGTATCATTATAATTTCATAAGAATTTATTATATATATAATACGTGTTAAAAACTTCAAATCTCTACGTCGTTTCTTACCTAACCGTTTCTCCGTTTCTATACGAGGCGTAATTATATGAAAATGAAGAATTATAAGATTCATGAGCAGCGACAATCATACACTTGAGAATAACCAGCGAGATTTACGTGCAATCGACGCTCAAATGTCAATTATTTCTAATCGAATGCATCGTTGATCGAACAATTGTAACGCTTTCTCAATTTTAATGCGTCAAATTATGAAGAATTTTTTTTTTCTTTTAATTTTCATTTACATTAACGGTAATTTGAATCACTGATGAGATTTCATCGTTGAAGGTAAAAGGCATCGTTAAGAAAAAAAGAAGATGAGATTTCAGATATGAATTATGATAGTTGTATATAAAAATAAACGAGGAGGACCTTGAGACCTTGTGTTCTACAGACGTCGTTTCGTAAAAAACGAAAATAAAGCGAGTTTCTTTTTCTTGTAATTTTTTTTTTTTCTATAATTCATTATCGAGAAAATTTAGCATTATATTAATTATAATAATAATTTGAATTTTACATTTTACATTTTGCATATTCATGTAAATTTATTCGTTGGTTGCAATATGGTAATTTAACGAGAAAAATTATTACAGTATATTCGTTCATTGTAGATCATTCCATTTTAATTTTAATTGTAAAATGAAACTAGTTTTAAAAATATCGAATAATATAAATGCAAAATTTATTTTATCTTCGTAATCTTTGTTACACTTGTTGAATTAACAATCAACATGTTAGAATCATCATAGTGATCAAAGCTATAATTAAATAGGTATATATAGTTAATTCTTACGTGTGGAAGAATTGAGTAGAGAATATATACGTGTTTGTACTATTTATGATCAAAGTCCATCGATTTATGAATATATTTTGAATGTAATTTGAAACATATGAAAGAATCTGAAAATTATCTGTAAGTCTATAAAATATACAAAAATTTTATACATATATATACATATATACATTTATAAAATTTAATCTAAAAGAAAATATATTTTTATGAAATTAATCTAATAGCAAATATAAATTATTTACAATTATTCAATATTCCAGTCATAAAATTAAAAATTTCTAATTTCATTTGCAAAATAATTTATCTGGAAAAATAATCAATGTAATTATTCAAAATATATTCTCATATCAAATATGTAAATACTATAAATAAAAATATCATTTTATATTATAAAATCCAAAATATTTTATTATTCAACCATTGTAAATTGTAAATTAAACTATTCTTAAACACAAGGAATAAATATAAATTTAATAAAATAAATTTTATTTTATCATTTACCATGTTATATATAAAATCTTTTGAATTGTATAATGTGTTTTTACAAAGAACTACAATTTCGTTCTAGAATCTCGTTCTTCACAGCATCCATTCGTCACAGCACACATAGATATTCACGGATAGATACGTATTTAAAGATATATACATTCCAAGCCAAACAGATTACAACACAGTTACTACACTGAATACAATGATTCCACACAAACATAAGAACATATAAATATTTTAGAAGTTTAATTCATTGTGTTTAAATTTCACACATTATAAAATGTGAAAATTTATAGAAGAAGATGGATAGTAGATGCCAGTATACGTTCAACTTATGTAAATTTAGATATTATGAATAAAATGTAGGAATATTATTATTATTGGAACAAATTATAAACATTTGAACCATGTATTATGATCTATTTATATATTAAAATTTGTAAATTGCAATTAATTCGAAATATCAATGAGATTTAATTTGTTCTAATCCATTGTATTTATATTAATCTTAGAAAATTAAATTATTTCCAAAAATATTCGATAATCAAAATTCTTTGAAACAATATATTAAAAACTGAAATATTTTCATCAAGCAAATACTATTTGAAAATACTCTTTAATACCTAATTATTAATACATATACATTAATTATTTATTAAAATTATCGAAAAGATACAATTTTCAAATTGTAATTGCAAAAATTAAAAATTTATATATTAATTAACACGTATCGATACAAGTAACATTATATCTTTGCTTAAATACTATTTCGTTTCCATTTGACCATTTTTTTTTTGTCCAGTGCAAATAACAATATTAATAAAAGTTAAATCTCCAATATCTGCAGACCCATATCTAAGATCCCCCCTAAGATGATACTACTTTCTAATTACGTTTCACAATTAATTAAGAGACATCTGCTCGACAATTCAAATGGAAATTTCTACGGATGAAACGTGTATAACATTTTTCATACGAAGATAACGGAACTTTCCACAGAGGACAGAAGAATAGAAACTGCGGTTATCCTCGCTAGCGCTAGGCTAGCCGCGAAATTTTATTACGCGCAAACGACATTGGTACTCGTTCGGTGGTGACATCACGCATCTCTTCCTCTGCCAACCAACGAGTTTATTTGTAGCGAATCGTCATTCTAAATCCTTCGTTTACGCGCCGCTCTCTCGCAAGAATTCTGCCGCCCACGATCCCCGCCACTTTTTTTTCTCGCCCAAGTTCAACCGTTACATCCTCCTCCTCCTCCTCCTCCTCCTCCTCATCCTTTGAGATTAAGTTTCAAAAGGGGGAGAGGGAGAGATTTTTTAATTCGCCTGGAATTTTCTCAGGAATCACCTCGTCCTTTGAATCATTGTTCCACCACAATTTTTCTAATTATCGATCGTATTACTTTCGTGTACGTTACACGTTTTAAAGCATAGCCAATCAAGTATTGGGTAACATTTTAACCTTCTTCTTTTTCTTGGATCCATCAATCGTGAAAATCTGAACAATTTGAAGATTTTACTTTAGTCGAAAAACAATTTCGTTCTAACCAAATCGTTAGAAAACTCCACGAGAATCCTTCGAACGTTACAAAATGCATCATCGAGACGCCATCGTCGTCTCAACGAAGAAACATTTGGAACGAGAGCGACGACGGATTTCCGGAGCGGCCAGGGATGGTTCTAATTCTAAACGCGAGCTCGCGGGTAAAATGCGCGGAGAGAAAGAGGAGAGAGAGAGAGAGAGAGAGAGAGAGAGAGAGAAGAGAGAGAGAGAGAGGAGGAGAG